GGAAGAAGGAGATGAAGGTAAAGATGAAGGAGATGAGGAGGACAAAGACGAGACTGGAGATGAGGAGGATAATGAAGGAAATGTTGGAGAAGACAGAAAAGAAAATGAAGAGGATGAGGATGATAATAATGATAAAGATGATAATGAAGAGTTTGATTCTACATTAAGTATTGCAGATAAGAAGAGAATGTGCCGTTATCGTTTATCCTGTTATGCTGATAAAGGAATTAAAATTCCAGGAAAATATGGAGGGAAGGAACAAAAACAAGAAAATGGGGAATATATTCCATCTGGGAAGAGAACACTTGGAGGAACAAAACTTAAAATTGTTGATGTTGAAAAGAAAGCAACATTAAAGGATGCAGCAAAATTAGTAAATAAATATTTAAATGAATTTTTAAAAAACAAATAAATTAATTAGGCAGTAAAAAAAGTTCGTCAACAAGAAGCAGAAGGAGAAGTACTTCGAGAGAAATATGTATATGATGGGGAACGAGTACTTGCTGATTTTTGGGCAGAATTGGAACGTAAAAATCGTTGTAAATATAGAAGAAGTTGCTATTTAAGTGGAAAATTACCCAAAATTAAACAAAGTGAAATTTTGCAGTGGTTAGGAAGTTTTGGAAGTAGTGGATTTTGGAAGGGAGAAAGAGAAGAGGAAAATGATGAGGAGAAGAGGGATGAGGAAGAAGTTAAATTTGGTTAGATATTTTTTTAAATTATTTTTAAAAAAATATTAAAATTAAACAGAAAATTTAAATGAATATGAGAGAAAATTATTTTGTCGATATAGAAATTCATGCTACAAAAATGGAATTAAACCAAAAATTAATAATAACTCGATAACTACATTTGGAATAAAAGAATGGAATTTTAACAATTTAATTAAAGATTTAAAAGAATGGTGGGGGGTTGGAATGGAAGGAAAACAGGAAATTGATAAAGAAGAGGGAAAACAAACAAAATTAGAATGTAAATATAGAAAAAGTTGTTATTCAAGTGGTAAATTACCCGAAGAACTTAGAATTGATAAAAATGAAGAAAAACAAACAATAACAAAAATTTTGGAAGGGAAAAAGGTTAAAATTTAAAAAAAAAATATAAAAATTTAATATAAAAAACTTATTTACTTAAACCCTCCCATAGACTTGATAAATTTCGGAAATTATTTTACAGAGGGGACTTTATCTTACTGTCAACAACCAAAATTGGCAAATTTTTTATACCAGGAACGGAGTAAATTTAGATTTTTGGATTCTGTTGACTCGGATATGTATAAGGAAATTAAAAACAAAAAAATTAGTGTTGTTTAGACGAAAGAAAATACCCATAAAGTTTTTCAATTTGGTTGGTGACAATAAAGGGGGATTTTAATTTTTAATTATTTCTTTACAAAGGTGCCAACAAGCGTAAAAGAACTTAAATTGTTTTGTAAATATCGAAAAAGTTGTTATGTTGCAAATGCAGCAATTCAACAAACGGAAATAATTGAAAAAGAAAAACAAAATAAAAATATTACTGTAGAGGAGAAGAAATTAATTATTAAAAAATCTATGAAAAACAGTTCGCCGCCAAAGGAAGAAAAGAAAAATAAAAAATTGCCTAAAAATTCTTCTAAAAGAAAAATAAAAATTGAAGAAGTTAAAGAAGACGAGGAGGAAAATAAAAAAGAAAAAATTAAAAAGGATTGTTTTGTTGATAAAAAAAGAATTAAAGAAACAATATCTCCACAAGAAGGATGTAAATTTATTGAAAGAAGAAAGGAAGAAGAAAATTTAGAAGGAAATTTAGAAGAAGAAAATGAAGAAGTAAAGAAGAGAAAAATGAAGAAATATATAGTAAATGAAGAAATTAATGAAATAAAAGAAGAAGAGAGGGAAGTGGAGGAGGAGGGGGAAGTGGAAGAGGAAAAGAAAGTGGAGGATGAAGAAGAGGAAGAATTGAAGAAAGAAGAAGAAGAGGGGGAGGAGGAAAAGGAAACAAAAAATAAAATAAGAAAAAATAAAAAATATAATATAGAAGCAAAAGAAAATTTAGTTGAAGAGAAAAAACAATGGAAAAGAAGAAAAAGTTTAAATGAAGGTAAGGAGAAATTGATAAGAGAAGAATAATTTAATCTTTTAAAGATAAACCTTTATTTGATTGGAGAATATTAAGTAATTTATTATTAACGGGTAGCAAAGAGCCGCGTGAATTTGAAATTGAAGAATGGGAGAAAATGAGTGAAAAAGAACGATTATTTCGATGCCGGCAAGTTTTGAAATTATTAATTTTTTTTAAATTTTAAAATAAATTTAAAAGATATCGATTGAGTTGTTATGATAAAATGAATAAAATTATGGGTGGAAAGAAAGAAAAATTTAAATTAAAAATTACGAAAACAACAAAAATTAAAGAGAAAAAAGAAGAAAGAGAAGAAGAAAATGAGAACAGTGAATATTTAATTAAATCAAATAATATATTGGATAAAAATATAAAATTGGCTTGTAAATATAGGAAAAGTTGTTATGAAGGAATTGAAAATAATAGAGAGACAAAAATAATTGGAGGTAATTTTAAAAGCCAAAAAATTTTTAATTTTAATAATTTTTTTAAATAATTTTTTAATTACATAATTTTTTAAAAAATAATTTAATTTAAAATTAATTTTTAGTAAAAAAAGAAACAATAAAATCCCCTCTTCCACCACCAATTAATTGGACAACAATAAATCCAGAAAAATGTAACAAATGGAGAATTTCGTGTAGACAAGTACTTGGATTGCCAATAAAGGAAAAAGCACCGATTGGGCCAAATGGGAAAAGATTATGTCGAAAAAAGAAAGAAGAGGAAATAATAATTAAAGGGGGAGGGAAAGCAATTAAATAGAAATTTTAATGTTAGAAATTCTGAATAATAAAAATATATACTAAATAAATATTTTAAATTTTTTTAAATAAAATCAGTGAGGGGATTAATTAACAAAAATAAAAAAAGAATTAAGAAGAAAGAATCTCAATGTGGGATTATCCAGCTTTAAGTTCAGAATACACTTACCGTATTTTCTCGATTAATTCCCCTCTCTCGAATAATTCCCCCTCTCGATTAATTCCCCATGCCAAGGAAGGGTTGAAAAAATAATTTTACATGGGAATTAATTAATTACACTTAACTGCAATTTTCGAAATACTTCAAGATCTATAACTACTGAGGTGTCCCAAAAGTTCTCGCTATTTCAAATGTAAATCATATTTAACACGCATGTCAATCGTAATCTATATACCATTCGAAAGCTTGATTCTTATATCTTTTGACATGTTTCAGCGATTTTTGAGAGAATTCAAAATTGCTGAGATATACACGGAAAAAGTGGATATATTATTTTTTTACTTCAAAAATAAAAAATAAAAAAAAGAAATATAAACTAATTATTTTCCATTAAAAAACTCAACAATTTTTTCCAAATCACATTCCCCCTTCAAAATATCCAATAATTCTCTAGTTTTATGTTTAACATTTTGTCCAAGCATTTTAAATTTATCGATATACAAATCTGTAATAATTCCAAGTATTCTATCCAAATGTATTTGTTGATTGTCTACTTCTTTGTGTAAATGTTCGTAATTAGCTAATAATTGTTTTAATTCGGAATTTAAATAACTTAAATCTTCAAATGTTGCTTCAAGTTCCTTTAAATTTATTAACAAAAATTGTTTTAAATGGACTTTTAACCCCCATTACCTATTTTCAGTAAAATTAGGGTTGTTTCACGACCGGTTTTAAACCCAAAATTTTGATAATTTTGTTAATAATTAACTGATTTTACAAAGTTTAAAAAACCGAAAACTTATGAGAACGAGTGATTTTATTAAAAATTCCCCCAAAATAAAACCAGTATTTGTCTAAAACTCAAAATCGAAAGCCGGTTTCTAAAATTTGGATTAACCGAAAACCGGGGTTACCGGTTAATAACCGGTAGTGAACAACCCTAGTAAAAATAGAATCTAATTTTTTAAATTAGAATTTTTAAAATAAACAAAAATACACAAAACACAAATATACTTTACAAAAAAAGAAAATTAACATTTAAATACAATTAAATAATCAAACACCAAAAATACACACAATTAAATACATAATTAATTATTTATTTACTCCCTTCTTTTTTACTTCCACTACTAATTTCTTCTTTTTTCTTCAAACTTCCTTCATTCTTTCGCAAAGAGCTACTAGCAGGCATATTAATTCGTAATGATCCAACAGCTGGAGCACCATCCCCAACAATTGAAGGAGAACCTAAAGAACCACTTCCACTAAAAGTTCCCCCTCCTCCTCCATCCCTCATAGATCCAAGCATTTGAATATTTCCTCTAATTGACTTTTCTGAAGTTTTTGTTGGCCGAAATTCCAAGTCTAATGACAGAGAATTTTCACTTTTTGATTCGTTTATGTGAACACCAGAAATTATTTGTGGAGGGCCGCCAACAGTTTTTGATTCAATGTCGATTGAAAGTTCTGGACGGGATTTGGTTTTCTCTAATGGAATATCTTCTTCTTCTTTCTTTTCTTCTTTTTTTGGTTTTTCTGCTGTACTTTTACGAGAAATTGAACGTGAACGAGAACGTTTAATTCTTCTTGTCTCCATTGCCAAAAGAAGCGCTTCACGTCTTGCATGAAACCATTTACAAAGGCGAACACAGGAATACTTTAAATGAATTTTTGTTTAATCATCTAAGAAGAAAACTTACAATTAGAAGACCAAATAAACCCATTCCAATAGCAGGAAAAACAAAAGTAACAATAATTTGCCACCAATTAGTTGAAGGATGTCTTTCCCAATCATTCAAAATAGAATCCCACGATTTTGGCAATTTTCGGCTTTCTGCTTTTGGATCAATTAATTGAATGTTTTGGGCAGCCGTTGAAGTAGAAAATATTGAAGACAATACATTGAGGAAGAAGAAAATGTGAAGAAATGATTGTTTTGTAATTAATTTAGATAAAAACATTTTTGAAGAACTTTAAAATAATATTTTTTGAAAAGGGAACAAAATAAGAAATAAACATACAAAAACTAGGCGATGAACAATAACGAGACACTTTTGATTAACAAACAAGAGTAAAGAAAGTTTTAGTGTTTTTATAGTGCAACAAACAAACAAATAACAACAACAAACAAGCAAACAAAACAACAACAACACAACAAAACATGCAACAAATAAACAACAACAATAAACGAACAAAACATTACTCAAGACATAAACAAATTTTAAATATTTTCCAAAAGAAATATTTTTAAAATTAACCTTTAAACCTCTGGCTAATTCCAATTGTCTAACTAACCGACTTTGATATTCCAATTTAGGCCAAATTAATTCTAAACATTTTTTAATACTTTCCTCATTAATATCACAAGCAATATGTACTTTTATTTGCCCCATAGAAACAATTCTGCTAATAACATCACGTAAAATAACAATTGTGGATAAATTGTCAGAACGATAACTAACTCTCCCTTTACTTTTTTTGAGGAAAAAATTAAAAATAATTTTTTTAATTTTCTTTTTTTAAAAACACCTATAATTAGCTTGTAATTGAGTCCCTCCATTAAATGTTGAACGAAAATTAAAAGTAACAGTCTCTGCCTGTGGACAACGTTCGGGAACTTCAGCTAAACACAAAGCTAACCAAGAATGGGCTTCTGCTATTGAAAATGAGCCTGTCAGAGTTAAAGTATTCATTGGACGATGTTCATCAAAATAGTGGATACGTTCGTGGAGGGCAAGTGGTTTTATTGGGTAAGAACAGACCTAGAAATTTAAAAACACATACAATTAATTCCTTAATTAAAAATTCTGTAGAATTAATTAAATTTACTTTCCAATATTTTTAAAAATAATTTTTAAACGTGGGAATTATTTAAAATTAAAAATTAAAGGATAAAAAGAAACATTTTTGGCAATTTTGAAATTTCCAAAATTGTTAATTTAAAAGAAAAAAATTTAAAAGTATATTAAATTACTTAAATAAAACAATTAATGACAAATTTTTGAAATAAATTGTCTTAAATTAAATGAGAATAAATGTTTATTTTAAGTATTTTAATTGAAAATTAATTTTATAAATTGACGTTTATTTAGTAAATATTGTCCATAAAAATATTAAATAAAATTCTCTTTAAAAAGTCCAAGAAAATGGGCAACATTCCCATTTATTTTTTAAAAACTAATAAATACTTTTAAGTTTTTAGTTTGTCCAAAATTAAAAAAAAATACTTTTAAACTTTAAAAACTGCCCTTTTTTTCTCTCGAAGTTAGTCTTTCACAAATTAAAAATTATTTTTTATTTTTTTGAATTTTAAAAGAAATTTAATTTCAAATCCCCTAATAACAATTGTTTAAATTATTCCAATTATTTAATAAGTCTAAGAAAATGGCCAATTTAAATTTCAAGTCAAAGTTTAAAAAATAATTTTCAGACATTTCGTGACTAAATATTTAACTTTAAATTCCTAAATTTATTATTCCCCTCCCCCAAAAAATATATTTAAATCCATTTTTAGAATTTTTTCTTAGTAAATTATTTTACCTAAACAACAACTCCTTCCACTCCTCCTCCTCAATTTATTTCTTAAAAATTTAAAAATTTTCTTCCTACTTTCCTCCTACACGTTAAAAACTAAACACGCACATTTACACGCTTTTTTGCATTTTAAATAAGTTGAATAAAAATTATTTTGACTTTGAAAACTCAAAAATAAAATTGTTTTTTAATAATTTTTTTAGTTTTTTTTTCTTAAAAAAATATTTTTTAATTTATTAAAAAATAAAAAATATATTTGGATGCGGCAATTAGGGGCGCGATGCTTTAACTTTTAAAAAATATTTTTGTACTGCTCCGACTGTTAAAAAGGTTTGTCCTCGCTGTCCGTGATCATATTTCTATTACGTGTTACCATAAAATTATTAGATTGTTGTAGATAAGTCAAATAAAATAAATTTAACTTTACGATAAAATTGAAGCAAGTTTTGCTAAAAAACTCGAGCGCCCGCATCCAATATTATTTTTTAATTTATTTTTCACAAAAATAATATTAATAAATCTACATAAGCATTTTTCTGTCCTACAATAGTAAATGTACTTATAGAAACCCATAAGTGAGAGACTTGTAGAAAAAATCTAAAGTCACATTTATGGTACCCGCTTTGAATTACTCGAATTTTAATTAAATATTTAATTTTTTTCCTTCTTCCACCTTTTCCTTCTCTTATTTTAAATTTAACAAATAATTATTTAATTAAAAAAATTTTTTAGAGGAATGCCATTTCATCTTCCCCGTTTAAATCCAATTATTCCTCAACTTATTCCAAAAACTAATAATAATTCTTCAATAAATTTAAACTCCAAAAATATTCTTCGGCTTTCGAAAAATTTATTTTTAATGTTTTTTATTTTTTTGATAATTAATTGTTATTTTTGTTTAATTTTACAAGTTTCTTCAACTCCAATAGAAGTAAATTTAAATAAATTATTTTTAAATAAATTTAAATTATTTTTAGACAAATGATCAAAAATTAAAAGAAGAAAAATATTCTTTTAATTTAAATTCCCCTAAATTAATAGAAAATAAAAGAGAAAATGAAGAAATTAATTATTTTAAAAAACAAAAAACACAATTACCTAATTTTTTGTTTTTAAATGAGGAAATAATAAATAATGATGAAGACTTAAATAATAAAATAAATAAAAGGGGGATAAATGGACAAACATTTATTGAAAGAATTATTAAAGGAAATGAACGAAGACGTGAATTATTAAAGGTAAAATGTTAAATTTAAAAAATTATTTAAAGAAATTACTTTTCCACCGAATAATTTTATTTAATTTTGTTTTAAAAATTTTAAATATTTTCTCCACACAAAAAGGGTATTTTGGAAAAGGGCTTTTAGCTTATTAGGGAAATTATTATAATTTAAATAATTTCTAATTATTAAAGTGGAAAAGAGGAGCAGGAGATTTTTGTGGTTGTAATATGGGCTGTTTTTACCATTCGATGGGATTATGTGCATCTTGCTGTTCTTTGGGACTTTAAAATTTTAAAATAAAATTGGAAAGAATAGAGAGGAATTTTGGTGGAATTTGAATAAAAAATATTTAAGAAAATAATTGGATTTTTAATTAATTAAAGTGCTAAATTAAAACGAGTAAAATAAAAAATTTGTTTGGATTTATTAAAAGAATTATTAATCCTTAATTAACAAAAAAAGGATAATTTATTTATTTAATAATTAATTTATTTAAATACCTTGCATGTAAGAGGAACAAGTCTAGGTACAATATATAAACGTAAAGTGCCAAATTGTCCTTCAATTGATCTAATACGCATTTCCTAAACAAAAATATTTAATTAAATTAAATATATTTCCCTACCATTCTTGTAATATCAGCTTGACAACGATAAACTGCCAAAAGTGCATTTCCTGACTTGATTAAAAATTATTATCAAAATATTTTCTATACAAATTTACATCATTTTCTGGTTCAGTAACAGAAATAACTGCAGAATTCCTTTCAACATCCAATAAATCAACTTTAACATCACTCTGTAATAAAACATAATCTATTGGAATTGCTAATTCAACAGACAAATTATAACTTTAAAAATAAATTATTTTAAAACAAAATTCGTTTCTACCAAGCCAATTCTTTCCTCAATTCAAATCTATCATTAACAGTAAAAGCCATTAAACTTGTATTATTCCCTATTAAATTTCCATTTGCAGGTACTTCACTAGCTATTTGATTTAAACGAGTCATTTCATTATTAAACCGTTCTCTTTCATCTTTTACTTTAATTTCTAATTGCTCTATTTCTAATCTAGAAAGAGAAGAAAGTACATAATTATTTTAAATTTAAATTAATCAACTACCTCATTTGTTGTACTTTAATTTCCATTTCTGGCGCCTCACTTCCTCTTTCATCCAATCCAGAATTTATTGCAAATACAGGCTCTGTTGTTAATCCAAATACCCAACCTTTTAAATTAATTTTAAATTTTTCTTTTCTCATTTATTAATACCTGTATACGTAGTAACTATCAATTCTGGATATATTCCATTACCTACTCTCCCTCCTTGTAATCCAGTAATACTTTCTTCGCATTGATATGATTGACGAAATGTTAACTTTTTTAAATGTTTTTAAAAAAATAATTTTAAATTAAAAGTTTACATTATTATTTTCGTCTACAGCATATAATTCAATAAGTCCATCATCCTTTCCTATCTACAAAAAAATTTTAAAAAGGATTTAATTTTAATTTAAATAATGGTAGCACCCCGTCCCCCGACTATTTTTTGGCATAAACCCCGATCCAAACCCCGAAGGCTCTACCCCGACAAACCCCGATCCCCGACAATCCCGCCCCCGAAGGCTCGGGGTGCTACCCTAATTTAAATAACCAAAACATCTGGTTGTGTATTATTCTCCTCTCCCATCATTGGATAACAATGAATTGTGGAAATAGCTACACCTAATTTTAAATAATTAATTTATTTTTCTTTTTTACTTCCAAAGGATTTTGTCTCGAATTGTTGACACATTGTCCAAAAATCTACCCCCAAATCAACTAAACCAATATATCCATTTTTACATCCAAATAATACTTTCTGTTTATTATACCCTCCATCATTACAAAAAAGATGTAAAACTGTCGGGACTTCGTTTAATGGAACCTTTTAATAAAGAAATTATTTTTTAAAAAGAATTTAAAACTTGATAAACAATTCTTGAACCATCCAAAACTTTAATTGTTTTATCAGCACAAGCCTTTAAAAAGGGATAATTTTTAAAATAAAGATCTGAGTGATATAAGGATGGGGAAGACGGTTAAAGGAGAAGGTTTGACCAATATTTTTAAAAATCCCAGTTTAACAATTTTTGAAGAATTAACTCTTTACACCCAACTATTTAATAGAAAGAATTAACCAAAACAGGTGTTAATCCACGTCCAACCCATCCACCTTCTGTTATAGGTAAACAAAGAACGTCAAGAATATTGTCGCTACAAGAAAAATGCTAAAAAATAATAAAAAATATTTTCAAAAAATTTCAAAAAAAATTCCCAACACTTTTCTCAATACAATCGTGAAAATGATAAAAAGAGTTTTTGCTTGCAATTAACATATCAATACCATAAACATATAAAGATTGAATTGATTCTGTTAAATTCGAATTAAATGCCAAAAATTGTTTTCCTTTACGGCTATATCCTCTAACCTTTTTTAATTTAAAATTTTTAAATATTCATTTAATTAATTAAATATACTTCAGTTCCACAAGCAATAAATGCTTTATCTTGTATAGAACCTAAAGCACCTCCCATCTAAATTTTTTTTCTTAAAATTGAATTAAAATTAGAATACCATAAGTCTTCGAATTGGAGGACCAGGAGGTGTTTTATAGAGAATCTAAAAAAGATTGTTAAATAAATTTATAAAAGATTTTTAACGAAAGGAAAGCTATGTATATAGAAAGTGTTTAGCAAAAGTTGAGGGACCGTGTAGGATTGGAATCTGCAACCTCCTTGCAGTTATTGCTAGGCGCTTTCGTTCACCGCTTATAGGAGCTCTACCACTAACGGGGCATCGACTAATGCTTTCTCTTTTTCTTACTTAGATCGTTTTCACCCGCCTAAGAATGCTCTAGGTGAATCATCCTTACAATAGAAATTGTAGAGGGCCAATTACTATCTCAAATAATTTTTTATCAAATTCCCTTTTAATTTTAAATTTAAAAGGAAAACAAACATTTGTATTTCCATCTTTCCTTTCCATACATAGCACAACCCCATTTTGATCTCCAATAATTAATTTATCAGTTTCATTTTCATTTAATTTATTTTTCCTTTTATTACTCCCTTTCCGTTTAATTATTAATTGTTCTCCTTCCCCTCCTCCTCCACTTTCTGTATTTTCTAATTTAATTGTGGAATGTCTTCGAGTACTTAAATGGCCGCCATCTACAGAAGTTGTGTGAATTACTCTAAGACAACCTTTTTTAAATAAATAATTTAATTAAATTTAAATATACAATTTGTTGTAGTCCCAACATGTGCATAATCTACTCTATTGAGATTTAATTCCATTTAAATATTTTTTTGTTAATTTTAAAAATTTAAAGAAATAAAGGGATAAATGGAAGGATAATTTTTTAAAAACATTTTTTGGTTACCTGGCAACCTTTTTAATTTGAAAAAAAAACAATTTATATGTATTACAGCAAACAATTAAAAATGTTTCTGCAATACAGCATACAAAATTTCATAAAATTCAAAGAAAAATATAAAATTTATATAAATATTTTAATTTAAAAATTGAATAAGTGTATTTTACTTCTTAGTTTTATGAGAAAAATTATTATAGATAAAAATTACAAGAGCCAGTTGTCATTATAAATATTTTCTGTAGAAACAACAATCAAAAAATGATTTTACCTGTTAAGGAATTAATAAAGTATTGTAAGAAAGAAAAAAATTCAACTAGCTAGCATTTAATGCTTACCATAAAGTCGCAATTTAACCTCTGTTGGTGATTAAATTTTTACCTCGCTCTGACTGTATGGAATAGTCAAAACGAAAAATTTTTTAGTCCTTATAAAATTATTTTAATTAATATTTATTTATTCCACAAAGTTTAATTAACAAAAAGTTAATGGAAAAAAGAAAAGTATGAAGAAATCAAAGAATTATAGAAAGGAAAGATTTTTTAAAGGATTTTAGTTAATTAAAAGAATCTTTATAACAAAATTTATTTATATATTTTAACATCCATTTTTTCTTTAAAAATAATTTCTATAAAGAAAATTATTTTCAACAGTCAATATATTTATAACATTTTCCATTAGCACAATGACCAATGCAGCAATCATCAGTTGTTTTACATGTTTTTAATGAACATTGTTTACATTTTTTTAAATATGCAACACATTTCATTCCATAACAACATCCATCTTTTAAATAATCACATGTTTTTCCTTCTTTAATACATTTACTATTATCCGAACATTCATAACCACATCCCTTAGGATTATGTATACAATAGTCTGGACCTTTGCAACATCCACTTTGAGTGGTAGAGTTATCACAATGAGCCGTCTGTGGCATGCATTGATTAGTTAATTTAAATAATATTATTGACAGAAATAAACAACAAATTATTTTTATTGAATAATAAGTCATTTTTTGATTTATTTAATAATTTAAATTTCAAAATAATTTAAAAAAACACTTTTGCTACTAAAAGAAATTTATTTGGATGTAGGTAGTTAACCACAAATTTTTTACTTTTTAGTAAATCCCCGATTCTTTAACAGAAATTAAAAATTTTGGTAGTAAAACTTTAATTTTGGGCAATCGACACTTTATATTATTAAGGTAAAATCTCACAAGTATGAATAGCCTTTGAGGCTTAAATTAACTATACGGAATTACTTATATGTAGCTTAGGCAAAATACTCCAAAAACGTTTTTCACTCAGTTTCTCTTTCCAACATTTTGGTGTTTCCAGTAGTCGAGTTTATATGAATTTGACTGGTCCTGATGCAACTAAATTCGCTTATAATGGAAAGAAGATGAGTGAATTTACTTTTTTTCGTTCATCTTCTTTCCATTATGAGCGAATTTATTAGCACCAGACCAGTCAATTTCATATAAACTCGACTAACAGGAACACTAAAATACACACAGTTTTTACATGTAGTTTTCTCAAAATAAATTTTAAAAAACGTAGAATAAATTGGGGATTTACTAGCAAAAATGTTTTTAAGAAAATAAAAACTTTTTTGGTAAAATTTTTATTATTTTTGTTTTGTTTATTTGAATTAGCCAAATTTTAATTTTATTTATATACACATTTGTTAGCTAGAATATTTATATCTAAAAATTGTCAATGAACTTTTGTTTGTAGTTTAGAAAAATTCAAAATACAAAATTTATTTTAGGCTCTAAATGAAAAAATATAAAAACTTTTTCGGAATATTTTTGGAAAATATATTTTCGAAAAAAATTTCTTTTTTTGTGTTTTACCGCTTCTTCACACTAAAAATAAACAAAATAAAAATAAAATTCTTTCTGAATAAATAATTGAAGAATAATGTAGTATGTATTTCAAAATTAGTTTTTACTCTTTTTTGGATAGTAATGTATGATTGGTGAATGTAAATCTGCTAAATTAATTTAAAAATTAAAAGAAAATATTATGGATGAAAATAAAATTTTGGTAATGGTGCAGAATTGGGGAGACACCTTAAAAACACCTTAAAAATTTTCATTTTTTCTGCAAACAATTTTATATAGGTAATCGACCATGCTGATCAAGAAACCGAGCTTAGAATTTGTTTATTTCGAACCCGGACCCGAATTCGACCAAGTCGAATTCGGGGTAAGAATTCGAAATTAAAAATTTAGGGCTAATCTGACACGCCTATTTGAGCTGAGTCGAATGGTATCAAAATTATTCAGTTTCGACAATTTTGGACGAAGTTATGATCAGTTAAATAACGCTTGGTTAGACTTCCGTATATAAATCAGACACCATAACTTCGTTTAAAATGGTCGAAACCTAATAATTTTGCTACCATTCGACTCAGAATAATGAGACGAGTCAGGATAACTGTAATATCGTAATTTTGAATTTTTTACCCCGAATTCGACTTGGTCGAATTCGGGTCCGGGGTTCGAAATAAACAAATTCTAAGCTCGGATTCGTGATCAGCATGGTCGATTACCTATATAAAATTGTTTGCAGAAAAAAAATAAAATTTTTTAAGGTGTTTTTAAGGTGTCTCCCCAATTCTGCACCATTACCAAAATTTTGATGTAAAACCCGTTTCTACAGGGTGATTATTAAATTACTTTTACGAATTTAAAATTATTAGTTCGTATAGTATACACTGCTCCACATAACTATAACCTCACCCTAAATTTTCAAATTTCTTAACTTCTACCGAATCAATCAGGCTGATTTTTATTTTTTATTAATAAAAGCAGGTAACAATTCATATGAACCCGAGAAATCTAAAAAATTTTATTCGAAAATTTTTTATCCAATTTTTTCAAAAAACACCCTCCACATAACTATAACCTCACCTTCAGAAATCATATTAGGAATGCTCGAAAAATTTTGCAAAAATTCACAAAAACTTTTCCTTTGATATTAAGTAGAAAACAAAAAGAACGAAGTCTTTAAGTGCTTTTTTCATCGAGATCCAAAATCGCGAAAATCAACGGGAAATGGGGGGTACAGTACTTAAAAAATATTTTTACAAGTGTAGACTGTAGATAAAATTTTTTATTATAGTCCATCTGAAAGCCCACAAAATTTGCTACAAAAAACACTTAGTCCTATCATCGAGAAAAATTTTATCACTGGGAAGCAATCGGTTAAATTTAAAAACTCGAAATAATGATATTTTATGGGGTGATTTGGGTGAATTCGTTCATCATCTTATTTAACACAAGTCTACTCGAAGGTAGAATTTTTGTCCTGGATAGGACCTAGTGCATTTTGTAGCAAATTTTGTGGGCTTTCAGATGGACTATAATAAAAAATTTTATCTACAGTCTACACTTGTGAAAATATTTTTTAAGTACTGTACCCCGCATTTCCCGTTGATTTTCAGATTTTGGATCTCGATGAAAAAAGCACTTAAAGACTTCGTTCTTTTTGCTAATCGCTTATTATCAATGGAAATGTTTGCGTAAATTTTTGTAAAATTTTTCAAGCATTCCTAATATGATTTCTGAGGGTGAGGTTATAGTTATGTGGAGGGTGTTTTTTGGAAATATTGGATAAAAAATTTTTAAGCAGAAATTTTTTAGATTTCTCGGGTTTATATGAATTGTTAACTGCTTTTATTAATAAAAAATAAAAATCAGCCCGATTGATTCGGTAGAAGTTAAAAAATTCGAAAATTTAGGGTGAGGTTATAGTTATGTGGAGCAGTGTAGTAGATAGACAAAAATGCCAAAAATTCTTTTTTATTTTTGCTAATTAACAACTACATATCAAATATAATTTAATCTTAAATATATTTTCTCTTCTAAATATTCTCATGCAAAAGTCTTTCCATTGTGAGCGAATTTATTTGCATCAGGCCCAGTCAATTTCATATAAACTCGACTACCAGGAACACCAAAATGTTCAGTAAAAAGTTTTGTCATTTCCCCAGTTACTTTATTTGGATCAGTAAATCCCCCAATTGATTGAAGTTCGGCATAAATAAATGGATCGGTAGAACCTCCAAAACAGCCAACATTTCCGGCATTAACTAGAACCTTGAAAGAATTGAATTTAATTTTTTCGGAGATAGCAAGGACGTAGATGGGGGCTAAGGGAGGCTGAAGCCCTCCCTGAAATGGGGAAAATGAAAAATTTTGGGAGGGAAATGGTCAAAAAAGTCAGCCCCCAAAATTCTCAAAATTTTCGCCAGTGGCCTTAAAAAAGATAAAAATATACGTCCGCAAAATTTGCGTTCGAAACGCCAAAATTTTGGCGCACACCCCATTTTAGCCGACTTGAAATGACACCTTAGCTGCGTCCTTGAAGGGTAGCAAATCAAATTTGGTGAAATCTAATTAACGTTAAACAAGAGGTACCGTAAATATTCTAGTACAAGCCATGGGCTTATATTCTTCAATAGGTCGGATGGGCTTAGAATATTTACGGTATATTATTTTAAAATAAATTATTAACCATAACATAGGATTCTGGCTTCCCAGTTAGAGTTGCAATATTAGCAGAAGCAATTTTTGCAAATTTAGGTGGGACAGATTCTGTTGAAATATTTGTAGAGATTTGCAAAACTGGCATATTTTATTTTTAACTGAAAATAATAAAAATAAATATGTCTAAAGCAAAAATTCATTCGGGAATGTTTACTTCATTTAGATTTATAAAACAAAAACGGAAAACTTAAATACACATTTCTACTTAATTATCACTCAACTAAAAATTAAATAAAAACCAAAATTTACTACTACAAAGGACAAAACAAAAAAGCTTATTCAACAAAAAAATAAAATTGTCGATTCAACAATTAATTAAAAATAAATATTCAATTGGAAAAATAAATAAAAAAATATATCTTGAATTACTAATAAGTGAAATAATTGAGCACATTAATTCTCTAAAAATTATCCTTTTAATTTTCCATCACAAGCAATTTGATTTGCATCAGGCCCAGTCAATTTCATATAAACTCGATTGCCAGGAACCCCAAAATGTTCGGTAAAAAGTTTTGTCATTTCCCCAGTTACTTTGTTTGGATCAGTAAATCCCCCAATTGATTGAAGTTCGGCATAAATAAATGGATCGTTAGAACTTCCAAAACAGCCAACATTCCCAGCATTAACTAGAACCTTGGAAAAATTTAAAAAATAAAAGAAATATTTTCCTACCATTACAGAATTTTCTTTTTTCCCAGTCAAATTCGCAATAATTTTCGTAGCTTGTGAAAATTCTGAAGGAATTGATTTTGAAGCAATGTTTGTGAAAACTTGTAAAATTGGCATATTTAAGAACTAGAAAAATTAAGTTAAATTTAAAAAAATAATTAAAAATCAAATAAAATAGTAAAAACAACCAAACAAATTATTGAAAAACCAAAAAGAAAACAAACTTTATTAAACAAAAAATATTTTCAATTTTACAAAAATTGATCTAAAAATTCCTCTAATTTTTCTCGAATTTCTTTTAGCGGTGGAATACAATGTTTTCCTGGATGATTACAAATTTGAGCATTTTTAAATAATTCTTCAGATAATTCTTCACTCCGTTTGGGTAAAACAATCTTTTTTTTGAAATTTTTATTAAATTAATTTTTATTTAAAAAAATCACCTCATCATTTAATCCCCAAATATGCAAACTTTTAACACAAATTTTAACAAAATTAAATTGATTATGAAAACTAGAAAGACTTTTAAATCCAGAAAATAATATCACAAAACGAATATTTAATGAAGGATTTGACGCAAATAACAAATAGATAAAAGAAGCTCCTTGGCTAAAACCGAGAAAGCCGTCAAATGGTCCCTGAAATATTTTTTTCAGAAAAAATTTATTTTAAAGTAATATGCTCCCTATCGATGTTTTCATTGAAAAGAATTAAAATAAACTCAAAAATAAGCCCAATAATTTTCTTGTAAATGACGAAATATTTAGTGACGAAAAGTTTATTTTTTGCCCTTTCACGATATGTTCTTCCTAAAAGGGAAATCTCATTTTCATGAAAATAATTTAATTTTTATTTTATTTTTTTGCAATTCTGCAGATTTTGAAAGATATTTAGACAAAAATGCTTCCTCATGAAATTCAACAATTTATGGGAAGTGGAGCATTTGCTTCTTCAGATCCATTATTTCACAGCGACACTATTCATCATGTCGAGTTTGATTTTTATGGAAAAAGAGTTGTGACAGTTTCAAGTGACAAATTGGTATGTATTTGGGACAAGGAAGTACATGGAAATTGGAAAAGAAGTGCTTCTTGGAAGGTTTTTTTGAATAAAATTTTTTAAAATTATTTTATTTTTTGTTTAATTGTGAAATGAAAATATTATAAAATTTTTAGAAGCACGGTGGTGCAGTTTGGAAAGCTCGTTTTGCTCACCCAGAATTTGGACAAGTACTTGCAACATGTTCATTTGACAATACTATACAAATATTTGACAAGGATGGTAAGAGAAATATTTTTTTGGGGAGGGGGGGGGGGGGATTTTGAATGATCAATTTTTCTGGACTAATTTTTAAACTAATTGCTTTAAAATTAAATTTTTTCTCAATTCTTAAAAAAATCACTTTCTTTTTCAGCCGTAGATGTAATGGATGCTCGCTCTTCAATGAGTGCTTCTGACTTCAGTAATGGATGGGTGTGTCGGACCGTGCTTCGACAAAGGTATTTTTAAGAAAAAAATAAAGGAAAAATTAAATATTAAGCACATCCAGCATTACCGACATTCAATTTGCCCCTCATTATTTAGGTCTTCAATTAGTTAGTATTTCTTAATTTTGTTTTCAAATCAAAATTTTACAGGCTGCTTGCACTTCCTCAGGGAGATTAGTAATATATGAAGCAGAGGATATAATGGCTTTAGACAATTGGAATGGTTTAAATGATTTTTGAGAAAAAATATTTAAATTTATTTTTTAGTTCTCGTCGACAACGAAATTTGTCAACATCGACTTTGTTCTCTCTCATGGAGTAGAAGTCGTTTTGATCCTCCCTATATTGCACTAGCTTCAGATGATGCCGACGCTCCCGCTGAAGAAAAAGTTTTTCTCTTTAGAGTTGTCAATACTGGGTTTAAATTTTTTATTTTTTTAAATTAACTAAAATTTTTAAAAGAATTTTCCCTGCACGTGTAATTTCTTCCACCAGTTCAACTCCTGCTGAAAAACAACACCAAAAGTCCAAAGACTACAAATTTTTATTTGAAGATCCAGTCAGTATGCTTGCATTTGGGCCTTCTTGCGGACTTGGAATACACAAATTAGCAATTGCTGTTGGAACAAGATTATTAATTTACCAATTACAATTAACAATGACTGAAGACCACAATCAGGAAGGATCTACTGGAAGTGCTAGCGAAGCAGCAGAAAATCAATTAGGAGAGAATACAGCAGAACAAACAACAATCCAACAACATTTTGTAATTAAATCTTTGGATGTTTTGGAAGAAGGAAATTCCCAATTAGTTCGATTTGCTTGGAATATTCTTGGGGACATTTTAAGTGCTGTTTATGCTGATGGACTTGTACGGATTTGGAGATGTATTTATATTTTATTTATAGCGCCCCGTAAATGCATTCTTGAGTTTTTGTAATTGCTAAAAGACTAATGTATCTGTGAGCCTGAAAATCAATCAGAGCAATCCCAAAAACTCAAACTACGGCCATTTTTATTTCCACTAAAGCAATCCTTCAAATAATATCTAAATTATATTTTAGATACATTTTCAAATCGGTGGTGTTCTGTAAGCACTATTGTTCCACCACCAGAACAAGAAAGAAGTCCAGAAGATGTTTATTATTAACTCTATTCCATTCATTTTTATTTTTAGAATTTATTGTTTTCTTTTCACACCTACCAGCACCAAAAATTTTTATAAAATTTAAATTACCTTATTTTTAATAAATTCGAGTGTATATTTAATTGATTCTTCAAAACCATCCGCAATTGTACAAATTTCCCTTGAGGAAAAAGATCTTTGTTCACGATTAGAGAACCACCAGGCACGGCCTTCTTTTTATTTAAGAGGGTGGAATTAATATATTTGAATGAATTAAAACTCCAAACCTTTCTTTTCTTCCTCTTCTTCCTCTCCGTTTAAATTATTTATTGTAAATGGGGCAGAAATAAATTCTAAAATTTAAAACGAAAATTCAAATAATTTTTTTTAAATTACCAAATTTTGCACGATTTTTTAAAGCTTTCCTCAATGCACCAGATTTTCTCTGGAAAATTTCTGCACTTTGACGATAGCCGTGAAAACAGAGAATCTGAAATTCTAATTTTATTTGTGTTTTATTAAAGTATAACTCTTAATTGTTTTTGCTCTTCCATTTTTCACAAGATATAAAATTCAGAATTTTGCTGAAAATTAAAATTCTTCTGAAATCAAAAATTGTCCATATTGAAATTATTTGTCCTTGTTGACATTTTGTCCATATTTAGTGTTATTGACATTTTGTCCATATTTAATTATAGGCATTTTGTCTGTTATAGATTTTGTAATATAATTTTGTAAAATTTATTTTGGCGTCCCGCGTCATTTCTTGAATCTTCGTGGGTTAAGATTTTATTTCCTTAACATTTTGTTGAAGATTTCGTTATCCTCGTATTTTCTTAGGGTTTTCACAATCTAGTTTTTACCTTCGATTTTAATTTTTTTTTAAATTTCAGTTAATTACATTTACTATTTTCGTTTGCGAACCAACTAAATAAAATGACTCAGGAGAGCGACAACATTCCAACATTTAAGCTTGTCCTAGTTGGTGACGGCGGTACAGGCAAGACTACTTTTGTTAAGCGTCATTTAACTGGCGAATTTGAGAAGAAATATATTGGTATTTTTAAATGGAACTTTTCAAAAATAATCTTTATTTTTTCTAGCAACTCTTGGTGTTGAGGTGCATCCGTTGACCTTTCACACAACTCGTGGCCAAATCCGTTTCAATGTTTGGGATACTGCTGGACAAGAAAAGTTTGGAGGACTTCGTGATGGATATTACATTCAGGGTTTGAACTCAAAAAGAAATGAGATAATTTTGTTATTTCAGGACAATGTGCCATAGTTATGTTCGATGTAACCGCACGTGTTACTTACAAGAACGTTCCGAATTGGCATCGTGACTTGGTCCGAGTGTGTGAGAATATACCAATTGTTTTGGTTGGAAATAAGGTTATTGATTATTTGAAGATTTTTGAAATATTTTTTGTTTAAAGGTTGATGTTAAGGACAGGAAGGTCAAAGCCAAAAGTATCACTTTCCATCGCAAGAAGAATCTTCAGGTTCTTATTTTGTTTTAAAGTTTCTAATCTCATTTTGTAGTACTACGATATTTCGGCCAAGAGTAACTACAACTTTGAGAAGCCGTTCCTTTACCTCGCAAGGAAGTTGGTTGGCGATCCTAACCTCGACTTTGTTGCTATGCCAGCTCTTGCACCTCCTGAGGTACATATGGATCCGGCTTTGGCTGCACAATACGAACAAGAAGTGAAAGAGGCTGCAAATGCTGAGCTTCCTGATGACGATGAAGACATTTAAGTATAAGGATTGGAATAACATGGGGAAGTAAAAGGTAAAAGTCTTCCACCAAACATTTTCTCTTTAATTTTTATTGAAAGGGTGAACATTTAAATTTTATTTAACACACTTCAAAGCGATTATTTTAACGTTTTAATAATGTTAAGATTTATTATCTAATCTGGAAAAAATTAATTTTTGGGCAATTAAAAATATTCACCCTGAAAATCTCTAAACATCTACACCACACAAACATATGTTGTTTTTACATTTATTGATTTAATGACAATTTGTTTGACTTTATTTAGACTATCTCAATGTTGCCACAATATTTCTGAATTTAACGTGAAACGATATATAAAACTTGTTACTCTTGTAAATATTTGATATAATGGTCAATTCTTTCCAACAATGGAAAGTCTGCCACTAAGAAAATAATTGAAATTTATTTTAAAATCTTTATTAAATTTTCAATTTACAACTAGAAAATAAGCAAATAGTCTAAAACCCCCTTCTAGCTATTCCTGGTCCCATACAAATTAGAAAAAGTAGGGAAAAAGGTAATAAACTCAAATATTTATAAAATCTTTTTTTCCTTTCTTCCTGTTCTAATTTTTCTGATTGCAACCTCAACTTCTCGAATGTAGGCATTGGATGCTCTTCTCGGCGCCTTCTTTCTTCAAATTGTAACTGCAAATGTCTCTCTCGTATTTCACGTTCTCTAGCTAAATTACTTCGGTAATTAGAAGCGGCCTCGTGTTGTGCAGCCCAAAAATTTTCTGAAGTGTTTGTTGCTGAACCATGAAACATCCTCTTTTTTCTAAAAATTAAAAAAATGGGTAATGTCTTGAGTAATAATCGTAAAGGAAAGTTAAGTCGAGATATTACTCTCACGTCGTTTTCGAAATTATGAAAATTAAATTCCCATATAAAGCAAGGATTTCCCTATGTCCACGTACCTTAACGTTTTTAATTACCTTTACTCAAAATTTAATATTTAAGCAAATAACCTGCTCATATTTTGAAAATGTTCAAAATCTTTATAGTCAATATCCAAATCACTCCAATCTTTTTCCCATTTTCTTTGCTGTTTTTCACCTGCTTTTGTTCTTTGATGATGCGTAGCTTTAAATATTTTTGTTGGCATTTCGGCAGTTAATGAGTCATAAGCACGCCTTTTTTCTTTTGAACCGAGAATTTCATAAGCTTCAGAAACCTAAAAATTGTTTTAAAATTAAAGGTTTTTAGTTATTGAAAACAAATGTTAATTAATATATTCTATTAAAATTAAGATACTCACCTCATGAAAATATTTGGAAGCCTTTTCCTTGTTGTCAGGATTCATGTCTGGATGATACTTCTAAAAATTAAAAAATTTAGCTATAAGCTTAATTTGTAAATAAATAATTTACGGATTAAATTATTTTCAAGTCTCGAACTCGAAAAACTCAAAATATCAGAAAATTTCCCCACACTTTTAATGTTATTTTCGTAAATATTCAAAAAAAAACCTTTGAAAGTGTATAAAACGCTTCTTTAATTTCTTCAATTGAAGAACTTCTTGGCACCCCAAGAACTTTATAATAATCCTTTCGAGTTTCAGGGGCCGTAGAAAAAAATACTGTTGATGTAAAATGTGTAGGGAAATTGTTTTTTGAAGACAAATTTGTGACGAATAAATGACATAAACCAGATTTATTTGTATTTATTGCAAAATTCATATTTTAATTAAGAACCCTCAAATATTTTAAAGTTAAAATGAAAAAGAAAAAAATTGTGTTAAAGGATGGATTTGCAGTAAAGAATTAGAATAAAAATCTCAAAAATTTATTTTTAAAATTTTCAATAAATTTATCAAAATAGTGACAAGAAATAAGTTAGTAAACAAAAATGATTCAAAAAACAAAAAAATTATTTTCGATGTTGCTAGATATATTGAAAGAATTTTGTATCTTTTAAAATAAAAATATATAATTTTTGTTATCCCCAATTGGGGGAATTTGTTAATCCTAGAAAGGAAAGAATATATTCTTTCCACAAAAAACCCTTTCAAACCAAACTTTTTATTTAAATTTAATCATTCCAAAACATAAACATCAATACAATCATCATCTTCCAAATCAAGAGTTTCTGCCGTTTCATTGTCACCAACTCTAACAGAATCAAATATAAATTGAACTTTATCCAAGAGAAGACCATTCTCTTGACAAAATATTTCTTTAAGTCGGGCAAATTTGGCAGTCTAAAAAATAAAAAAATATTTAAACGAAAATTCAAAAAAACCTTCAAAATTTTTGAAACAATCGGCCTTTTCCCTTTTTGTTGGTATTTAATTCGAATAGTTTTTACATCTTCCATTAAATTTAAAGGAACAACGTCTTTATGTTCAAAAGCGTCCAATTCAAAACTTTCATCCGAAGTAATTCCCAAAGTCCGTGGAGTGTCCTCTAAAGCACATTGTTTTAATTGTTTTGTAATTAACACAATTCGTTTTGGATCACCATTTACACGTTCAGCATAGTCTTCAATTAAATTTTTAATTGGATCATCCTGAAATTTTTTTGGGAAAATTATTGAGTGTAAGTATAGTAATTATTAAATTTTTTGTAGTTGGAATTAGTTAATTTAATAAAATATTTTTAGAAAATTACATTTTTAAAAAAAGCTTTAAAAATTAAAAAAATGAACCAAATCTTGAATAAACATTCGTTTGCCACCATTAGAATGAATAGTAATTGTACAAGTACTTTTAGGTGAAGGAATTATATTTTTAGATTTTTGAGCCTTATAATTTTTGTTTGAATAATTATTTGTCAATGAAGAGCCAAAAGGTGTAAGATCAATAACTTCAATGGAATTTGAACAAGATGGAGCTAAATTTAAATTAAAAAATAATAAAAAGTTAAAAAAATACAATTTAATTCAATAACTGCAGGAATAGAAGAATTGTTAGCACAAAAATTTGCTGAAGAGTCAAAGTCTTCGACACATACAATTTCTTCGCCTTAAATATAAAATTTAAAAATTTTTTTGAAGTTTGGATCCAACAAATCGTAAAACTTTTTGTTCAAGATTTAAAAAAAATTAAATACATGAAATGATAGAATCAGAAGGGGCATTTTTTCTTGTAAATTTATTTGTAGAAGCTGTAATTGGGTGTCTACGTTTTTTCTGGCAATGAGCGGCCTTTAATTTTATTTTGTCAAAATTGTCGTAAAAATCATCATCACTACTTGAATCGCTACCCAACGAAATAACTTCTGGCATCTCAACTTCTGAAAAATAAATTAAAGAAAATAAAAATTTTTTAGGAAAATTGCAAAAGTGAAAATATAGTTGAGGAATTTTGGAAATGGCGGAATGCCAAGAAAAATTATTTAACGTAAATTTAAAAACCGTCAACTAAATACAGTTTACTGTAGAAACAGAACCTTTCTAACATTTAGTTTTAATCTTTGAACGATTACACGGCGGCCCAAAATCGTTCCCGCCAAGAATTGGGCCGCCGTGTTTAAAAATATTTCTTTTTTTATTCTCATATGATTTTGTAATTTTTCAGTTAAAATTTTTAATTTTAGCCGTCGTCGTTAAATTGTTTCCAATTTACATTTTAAATTTGAAAATTAATAATGGGAAAGAAGCGTCTTGAACAAGTAAGAAAAGCTTTTTAAATTATTTTATAAAACTTTTTATATTTAGAATGGAGGTAAAACTTTAGAAACTAGTATGGAAATTGATGAGAAAAGTGATTATATTTTAAAGTCCTCGAATGAAGAGCCTAAAACACATTCTGAGGATTGGCCTCTGCTTTTAAAGGTTTTTATTTTTTAAATTTATTTTTTTAATTTAAATTGGATTTCATCAACAAAGGCTTTTTTAATTTTATAAGAATTGACACAAGGTAGAGCACAATATATTTTTTAAATTATATCTAACGTAAAACCTTTGTTAAATCCGATTAGTTAGATGAGTTAAATTGAGTGGAGTTTATCACTCCCCGTTTTTTTTGCTTATTTTAATTCTTAAAATTTCAGAATTTTGATAAATTGAATATTCGAACCGCACATTATACTCCTCTAGTTGAGGGTTGTTCTCCACTTAAACGTGATATTCGAAATTATGTTTCTGCTGGTTATTTTAATTTGGATAAACCTTGCAATCCCTCAAGTCACGAAGTTGTTGCTTGGGTTAAACGAATTCTTCGTGTTCAAAAGACAGGACACAGTGGGACATTAGATCCAAAGGTTTGCGGACTATTTTATTGTCCTTCATTTTTCTATGTTTTTCTTTTTGTGTGCTATCAATTTAAATTGTTTCTTAAACTAGAAAAAATAGAAATTTTTTTAGGTTTCTGGAGTTCTTGTCGTCTGTATTGATCGTACAACTCGTTTGGCTAAATCACAACAAAATGCTGGAAAAGAATATGTTGCTATTTTTAAATTACATAATGCCGTTGAATCTGAGAAACAAATTCGACAAGCTCTGGATAATGTAAATTCTTTAAATTTTATAAAATTTATAATTAATTCCGTTAAAAACCAATATTCTAAGAAATAAAAAAAATTTTATTTTTAGTTGACTGGAGCTCTTTTTCAACGTCCACCGCTTATTTCGGCAGTTAAACGTCAATTACGTATTCGAACAATTTATGAATGCAAATTGATTGAATATAATCCTTCACAACAAATGGGTATTTATTGGATGAGTTGTGAGGCTGGAACTTATGTACGAACGCATATTGTTCATTTGGGTCTTATGCTTGGAGGTTTTTTTTCAAAATTTAAAAATTTGGGAAAATTCTGTTTTTAACTTAATTTTCAGTTGGGGCACAAATGCAAGAATTAAGACGTGTTCGTTCTGGAGTAACATCTGAAAACGATCATATTATAACACTTCATGACATTTTGGATGCACAATATATGTATGATAACCAAAAAGATGAAAAATATTTGAGAAGAATTATTCGTCCATTAGAAGCACTTCTTGTTCAACACAAAAGGATTGTTGTTAAGGATAGTTCGGTTAGGAGTTAAAAAAATAGTTATTTTTTTAATTTATTTAAAGGTAAATGCAATTTGTTATGGAGCTAAAATTTTACTTCCGGGCGTTCTCCGCTTCGAAAATGGGATTGAATTAAATGAAGAAATTGTTATTGTTAGCACAAAAGGAGAGGCGGTCTGTATAGGTTAAAATATTTTAAATATAAATTATTTTAAAATTTTTATTTTTATAGCAATTGCTTTGATGACTACCTCAACAATTTCGGTTACCGATCACGGTGTTGTGGCAAAAATTAAGCGAGTTATAATGGAAAGAGACACATACGCTGTAAATTTACAATATATTCAAAATAATTAAATTAAAAAATTTTTTCAGCGTAAATGGGGTCTAGGTCCAATTGCTTCCAAAAAGAAAATGGGTCTTGTTCAGAAAGCAACGGAAGGAGGGGGCGGTGAATCTTCTTCTTCAATTGCAAAACCTACTCCACAAGCTGAAGTAAAGGAAGAGGTTCAGAGTCCAAAAAAGAAAATTGTTGAACTGGAAGTTGATAAAAACGTTAAAAAAGAAGAATTGGGGAAAAAGAGAAAAATGGAAGAATCCTCAACATCTTCAGAAGAGGAGGAAGATGATGAAGAAGAAGAGGGTGATGATGAAGACGATGAAGAATCATAAATGGACATGTCACTTAGTTTGTTTTGATAATTTGATGAGAAAGTCTCTAATAAGGTATTTAGAGGGGGAGGGGATTTTATTTGATTTTCCCAGTGAAAATTGAAGGGTTTTTTTGTTCAAAATTTTGGTTTTTTAATTAAACTGAATTGGGGAAAGGAATTTTTAAAATCTTTTTAGTTTATTTTTAATTTTCTGAAATTTAATTTAAAAAATCAGTAAATTCAAAAGTCGACTAGATTTTATTTTTGAGTTAATTTTAAAAAAATATTCAATTTAGAAAAGTAATAATATCTCTTAGAGACTGCAAAATTTTTATTTCTCTCTTCAATTTGTTTGATCTTCATTTTTGCTATTTTGTTGTTCCTCTATATTTTTATATTGTTGAAGTTAAATAATATAAATCTCTAGTTTGTTTTTTTTTCGAATTTTTTTATATTCCATAAGCATTAGCCCTGTTTAATTAAAAAAATTTCTAGTTCTGTAATGGAATCTTATAAACCGGAATTTTGATACCAAAGCTTGAAATACCAAATAGAAGCCCTTGAAATACCAAACTGCTACATGATGCCCATGATTCACTACGGCCGTCATTCATTCCCGTCATACCAAAAACTATTTAAACGGAAAAACTTTTTACACCGTTCTTGTAACAAGTTTCCCAGCGTTAGAACAACATCTGTCATTTTTCGTATCTCACAGTTTGGTATTTCAATCGCTTTTGGTAATAACGTTCGGTTTTTAATTTTTTCTTATTTTTAAATACTTTTTCCTCACATATTTGCATCGGCCAGCATATCCTCTAACAACCGAATACGTCGTTCGTGTTGTCTAAGCACCGATTTAATTTTTTCTAATTCTTCCGAATTTACCTAAAAAATATTTTTTTAAATTAAAAAAACATTTTTTAACTGCTGCTGAAGACGAATTACTTCCTCTTCTAGAAATACTTGGAGTAATAGAAGTTGTGCTTGGAATAGTTGTACTTGTACCTCCACTATTATCTGCTAAATGCATTTGTTGTTCTCTTTTAATTCTATCTAATTCTGCGGCTGCCCGTTTTTGCCCAGCAGTCAGAGCACCCCCGCTGGCGGGTGGCTCTCTTGATTTTAATTGAACTTGTTGTTTTGGGTGTGTTGGATTTGGAGGAGGTGAAGGCTCTCTTGTTTGTCGAACAATTCCTGTATCTTTGTGTGCCGTTGGTTGTTGTTGAGGTGAAATTTGACGTTGTTGGGGAGGAGGATGGTTATTTTGTTGTGGAGAAGATTCTTGACTAAAATAAATTCAAACAAATCAGAATTTAAAAACAAAACATACACAGGCATTTGAGCCAAAATATTTGCCTTCTTTGCCACCTGCACTTTTGGCTTTACAGATGCCGCCTCAGGATTTACAGGCATTAGATTTGGTGGGGCGTTTTTCCCTTCAGCAAATTGTTCTGCTGTTAGAGCGGGGACCATACTTCGAGTATCAGGATATAAATCACTCTTTTTTAAGAAAATTTGTTTTTTTGTTTTTAACTTATAAAATACCTGCCAAAGGTCAGATTTTCTTGGGACAAAAAATTGTAATACATCAATTACACCTTTTGTTGTTATTTTGTAAATACTGTAGAATGAGAGAAAATTTATAGGTATTTTGTGGTTATTTTTATTAAAGGATTTTTATTGTAAATAAACCCTCATATTTTTTAACTCCCAAATAAAAATGCTGGATCCGAACAAAATTCCCAGATATCCAAAGATTTCCATATTCTTATCCCCAAAAATAAACTATAATTTTCCTACCGATTAATTTCATTTTCATTAGAATTAACTCCTCTTTTAGGCATAAATCCAAACCCTCTTTGAGGTTCAGATGTTGTGTGAGTATTTATATAATGCATATATGGAGCATCATCATTAATTTCATAATAACGAATTGCACAATCACCTTTCCCAACTAAATAACATAAACCAGAATCTTCATCGTATAAAGGAAAAAGTACTCCATTTGAGGTGTCTAATCTATTAAATTAATTAATAATTAAAAAGAGATCGAGATTTTTAAAAAGCCTGGGCCTGTTCCTGGGGTTGTTTTATTGATCTGGGTACTGGGCCTGTAGTCCAGGAAAACCCAGGAAGGTCAAAAAATGCCCGAGCCTAGACTCTGGGTACAGGAAAAACCCAGGCCTAGTTCCAGACCCAGCTTGATCTCTAGTATGTTCAACTACTAGTTACCCCTACATTTTAAATTATTTAAATTTTTTCCCGAAAAAATCTAACCATCCCAGCCCAATCTAGTATTTATATTTTTAATTTTTTCAATTACTCTTCTTGAAGTAAAGGTTCCAAAGTATTTGAATCTCTTAAAGCATATATTCTTTCAGAACGTTTACTAAATCCAGTAGTTACAATTCTTCCATCTTTAGTAAATATTGCTCTTTGGGGCTTTACACCTTCATGTCCAATTCCAGATACGAGAACAGAACCTTTAAATTTTAAATATTTTTTTAAATTAAAATGTTTTTACCTGTATGTGAATCCAAAACTCGTATTTGTTTGTCTTTACAAGTTGTTACAAATCTATATAGAGAAAAAAATGAAAGAGATTTGTAAAAGAAATATATTTTTAATTCTTTACCTACTCCCATCATAATTAAAAGCAACACTCCATATTTGGTCTGGATGTCCCGCAATTTCAATTAAAGCTTCCCCTGTTCCAACATTCCAAAGAAGTAATTTATTTTCTCCTCCAGCAGTTAATAAAATACTTAATTAAAAATTTGTAATTAATTTATTATAAAATCAGGGGTTGGATTATAAGATTGAAGTCACTATGTCCTAAACAAATAAATATATTTTTAGTTTTACTCCATTCAAAAACAATTCAAGTTTTTCTTAAACAGAAAAAAATATTTTAAATTTCATTCATTACTTTGCAGCAGTTGGATGCCAAGCCAAAGTATTAACTCTTTTTTGGTGTCCACATAATTCAACTACAGGTTCACTTAAAGTTCTTAATAACCCTAATTCTGGTATCATCCAAACTTTTGCTGTTGTATCCTCTGAACAACTAGCAATTACGTGGTCATTAAATGGAGACCATTGAACTTCTAAACAAGCTGCTCTGTGGGCATCAACAAACGGAGTATCTTTGTCTATACGACCAGCCTTTTTTAAAATAAAAATTAAAATAATATTTAAAATGAGGGAGGATTTTATTAGTTGATTTTCTTAAATTTAATTTCTTTAAATCACCTTATTTATTGGAAGTACAACAAACGGCCCTCCTGCTCCTTTCACAATAACTGCCTTAAATAAATTTATCTAATTAAATTTAAATGCCAATAATAAACAAACAATAAATTTTGGATTAACTGCACAAAATTGTGAATCCCAAGAAACTTCTGTTATTCGAACATCTTGAATACATTGTTCTTGTTTGATTGCTTTACAAAAAACCTTCAAATTATTTAAAATTTAATAATTTTGTGAAAATTTAAAATTTTTTTTATTTATCAATCTTCGATGCGTTTGCTGATTATCTCTAACAAATATGAGAGAATACAGTAATAGAGGAGGAAATTCATTGAATTAAAATTTAGGGTAATTCTTACATGTCGAAATTTTGATTGACGAACAATGCTACTCATTTATCCAAAAAATTATTTGAATATTAATTAAATTAAAATTTAATTTTTTAAGTCTATCAATATATTTTCAGATGAAAATAAATTTTTGAGCATGAAAAGTTTTTTAAGAAAGATAAGCTTTAAAGTTTTTTTGTTGTCGATTAAATTTTTATTTCTTAATCCCGCCTGTTCTTTCCGTTCATCTTTTTACGTTGAATGGCAAGAAGAAAGAAGAGAAATTTAAAGAATAAAAAAGATATATTTTATTGGCAAATTCTTTGAATGAGTTAAAACAAAAAAAAATATTTTCTCTAACAAAAATATTTTAAAGTTAAATCCGATTGATTGAACAGATCGCAAGAATTTTAAAAGAAAAGAGGAAGAAAATCCCTTTTTATTTATTTACTATATAGTTAATAACAAAAGAAACAAACAAGGCTTAACTAAACTCTTCAACTCATTAAATGATGGGAGGGAAAGGTGAAGAGAGGGAAGGGAAGAGGGGAGATATTGTTTGGATGTCTAACAGATTGAAATAATTTATAAAAAGTCCCCAAAGTAGAAAAATTTTTCCAACAAGTTTATTAACAAAATATTTTAAAAAGATAGCTAGCTAGTTTAGGAAATCTTCTACAAAATAATAAGAGCTGATTGAGGGTCGAGATTAATATCAAGAAAAATCGGTCGATTTCCAATATTTTTGAATATGGTAAAAAAACTAAACACTTCTTTAATTTAAAATTTAATTCTTTTTTCTAATGTAAAAAATTGAGGATAATTTTTCAGTTACCTTTGGCTGCTTACCTCTTTTAAATAGCAATTTAAAAACAAAAAATCCCCTCATTTTTAATAAATTTTAATTTATTTATTTTTAAATCAAAAAAGGTTTTAAAATATAAAATTATAACAATTTTTTATTACCAATTTTTCTTCTTCTTTTTTCTTCCAATTCATCTTCTTCAAATTTTTGTTTATTTAAAGGATGTAATTTTGAATAAATAGATCCAATAATTTCACGTAAATTTCCAAGTTGTCCATTTTGTGCACTAATTGCATGGACAGATTTAAAATTAATTGGAAATTTTGGTTTAATGTCTTGAGGAAGGGATTTTGTCCAATTTGAAGTATTATAAGCTGGGCCAATGAAATGTTCTATTAATTGTTGGGAAATCTAGAAAAATTTTTTTAAATAAATTTTATTAATAAATTATTTGAGAAAATAAAATATTTACATAAATATACAAAATTTCTAAAATCTCAATAATCTTCCAGCTACAACAGCTAATTAGGGCTGTTCATGATCGGTTAATTTTTGCCTGTGGTGGCTCAAGTGGAGAATAAACAGAGCATGAGTCGCCACAGGCAGAAATTAACATGCCTGAACAATCATAACTGTTAATCATCTTCTAGACTCACTTACCCTTAAAAATTGCGCTACGAAGAAAAATATTACAAAAGTAAAATTATCTCAGAAATATTCAAAAAAAATTCTAAATCCAAAATATATCAAATTAAATATTTTATTTTTACTAACCTCTTCCCCGTTTTCAACATCAATTTTGTTTAAAAGCAAAACAATTGGTTTACGTATCATTTTACGGTCATATTCCTCCATTTCTCGATTTAATAAAGCAATTGTTTCAAGTGGAGTTCTAAAAACAAAATTTAAAAAAATATAAATATCCAATATTTACATTAATTTATCATTTAATTCAAGTCTAAATCCATGAACATCCACAACCATCAAAATTATTTCCGAATATTCCAAATGTTTTAAACAGCTTAATCCGTTATATAAATTTTGTGAAGCTCCTTTAACAATCCCAGGTAAATCAGCAATTGAAAGAGAAACGTGAAATGGTTTAACAGAATGTTTTTGAGTATTTTCGAGAGGTTGTAAAATTCTCAATTCTTTGGAGGAATTCTAAAAATATTTTTTAAATTTTAATAATTACAAAAAAACCTTTTCTTCTCTTCTTTCTAAATTTGTTTGTTCATAATCAAGAAAACAAACTTGTGGTTTTTCTGTTGTAAATGGATAAGAGGCTATTTGAATATTAGGCCCGCTAGGTATTAGAGATTTTAATAATGTTGATTTTCCAGCATTTGGATAGCCAATTAAACCAATATTTGGGCGTAATTTGACATGAATACTTACATCTAAATGTTCACCAATTTTACCTCTAAATAAAAAATAAAGGCAGTTAGAATTCGAGTGTTTATGGAAAAGCTTTATTTAAATAAAATTATTTTTAAAATCCTCTAAAATTGATATTTAATTGGCGCGCCGAAATTTGCGGATAATAATTTGCGGACCCGAAATTTGCGGACTCGAACTTTGCGGACCCGAATTTTGCGGACCCGAACTATGCGGACCCGAATTTTGCGGATCTGAGATTTTTGGACCAAAAATTTGCGAACTGACAATAGAGTCTAGTGAACCTCGGAAATTTCAAAAATTTTAGCCTGCGGCGTTAATTAGGATAAATCCAGGCATCATGACCTTATGAAATGGCCATATAAATGATTTTTTAAGGAATTTTCTTGATTATTTTCATTGTGAAATAATTTTAAGATAAGAAATTGATAAAAATTTTAAAAAATCAAGAAAAAATCTTGAGTGTGGTACGGATCATGGTAAACTCTGCCAGAATCCTCCAAAAAATTTTTTTTTTAATTTTCCTTTTTACTCAAGTGTCGGTCCTAAAATCTTGGTTCCGCAAAAATCAGGTCCGCAAATTTCGTGTCCGCATCCTTCGGGTCCGCAACTTTCGTTCCGCAAATTTCGGGTCCGCAAAGTTCGGGTCCGCAAAATTCGGGTCCGCAAAGTTCGCGCCACGATTTAATTTTAGCCGAGAAAATAAAATTTCTTTTTGTTAAATACCTGTAATCATTATCTGCACAGCCACCCTTCCCACCTCTTGCCAATAAATATCTTTGTTTGTTCCCTGAGCATCGAGCCAAAAGTTTATTGTGTTCTTGATTAATAATTTCCACACCTAATGGCACATCAACAACCAAAAATAATTTATTTTTTAAATTATATTTTCTTTTAAAAAAAACTAACAGAATCTTTTCCATTTTTTCCAATTAATTTTGTTTGTTTAGAATGTTGGCCATGTTCAGCTTTTAATTCTGGACGTCCCTCAAATTGTTCACAAAATTCTTCAAAAGTAACTTTATCATTTGCTCTAACAAAAACAGATCCCCCATTTCCACCAATTCCATTATATCTTTAGAAAAGAGGAGAATTAAAAAATAATTTAAAGAAAAAACCTCAAAATACCATTTCCTCCAGTCCCAGAATGAACAGAAAGTTTTATAAAATCCTTTGTAAGTATATAATCATTCGCTTTTAGCGCACCTCGTATCAATAAAAATAAAGAAAATTTCATTTAAATTTGAGAATTTATGTAAGTAGTTTAATTTGAAAAAAATATTTTTTGACCATTATTGCTCTGACCGTTTTATAACTTTTCCCGTTGATATCCCTTTTGTCGTTTTTTATTTTTGCAAATTTCAATTTTTTTGGTCATTAATTAATTTTAATCAAAGCGGTACAAATGGAAGATTCTGAAAACGACAAAGTCTGTAATAATGACGAAAGTGAAGATGATGAAATGGATATGCCTGCAGAAGACGTCAGGGAAATGGAGAAAATGAATTTTGATTTTGAGGCATTTCCGCCCTCAGAAGAAGATATTGAAGGATTAGAAAATTTACTTGCACAGGTAAATTAAAATTTTTTTAATTTTCCCGATTAAATAAATTATTGTTTAAGATATTTTTACGAGCTGAAATTAATCGAAAAGAATTGGCTGATTCAATAATTAAAATAAGCCCGTTTGGTTGTATTTATAAACCAGCAGAAGAATGCGAGGATGATGAGTCTCAATCCATAGTTTGTGGTGTTCTATCAATTGTTGGATTGACTGGCACAGAGGTTTAATATTTTTATGAGGGCCAATCTTTATTCAAATTTATTTAGAAACATTTTTCTGATGTTTCCAATTTTGTCCTACAACGAGCAAAGAAATTCGCAACTGGAAGTATTTTTAAACAATTTGAAAAATTTTTGCGGGGAACTGATGAAGGCAGTGGAGATTCACAATTAAAAGCTGGATTTTTGATTAATGAACGTTTATTACAATTTCCAGTTCAGATTTCAGCTCCAGCATTTGCTTCACTTTAGTCAGTATTATTTATCCTCTAATTCCTTTTTTTATTTAAGCAATGACTACAATTCTTTGCCAAAAAAGGAACGTTATCAAAATTTGTTGATTATTATAAAAATTAGAATTAATAAAGAGGGCTCATCAAAAGACAGGTCTTACATTTAATTTAGAAATTTTAATAATATTTCTAGTGAAAATCAAAGTTCTGAAGGGATTCAAACTCAAAACAAGAAGCTCGGAAAGGCTGAACGGCGTAGATTATCTGCCAACACTTGTGATATAATTTTTGATAATCCCGAAGAGGAATTGCTTTTTACGGTAATTATGTATTTTTTTATAATTAATGATATGAGATAACTTGAACATAGATTTCTGAAATTAAAAGGAATTTTTGTTCGAATAATTCTCCCATTTTTCTATCTACATGTTATAATTTTCAAAAAAATTGTTATTAAGGAAAAACTTTTTAACTCATTTTTCATTTTATAAATTTTAAAATTTTATTTTAGATGCAACAACATTTTCCTTATTTCCAATATCCTGTTGAATCTGAAGTAGAAAGTACATCACGTTTTGGTTGTATTCGACGTAATGGACAAGTGTATAGGCCTTATCGTCGAGCTTGTTTACTTACTGAAGAACAATTTTTACAATTTGTTCAGCTAGTGTCAAATTCTTCGTTTTAACTTTATTTAAAAAAATTTTATTTACTTTGAATATATAAATAAAATTTGTTTTTTTGGATTTTTTTTATAAATTTTATTTTTCTTTCCTGTTTGGGAAAGTACATATTATTTTAAGCAAGAAGCGTTTTAACTAGACATTTGGGTCTGTTTTTGCACATTAATAAACTTATTTCTAGCCTTAACTAAATCGTGAAATTTTATCTTATATGAATCAAAATTCCCTCACGGGCATTGGGGGACTTGGTTCTGGACAACAACACGAAACTTCTGTTCATCATTCATTGGTAAATCATCAACAACAAACAGCGCATTTAATTTCAAGCGGTCATCATCAGGTATTTTTTCTAAAGATGTACTGGTTTGGAGGAGATTTAATCCATATTCTATCATTGTGTTAGTATAGCCTTATCCCGGTTGTAAGTTTGAGCTCAATCTTGGACTCTGAACTAAAAATTATGTCTAGTGAAAACTAACAGGAAAGATGTTTGAAGCAATACAATTTTTATAGTTGCTTCTAGTTTTGACATTTTGCATTCTAAAGTTTGCAAAGAATTTCTTATTTTTAGCAGCATCACCATACAACTTTTGTGCCACCTCATTCAATTTCTGGTGTTTATTTAAATCAAGCTTCTAATACTATGGCACAACAAAATTCTGACCAACATCATGAAGGGATTTATTTTAATGGAGGACAACCACGAATTTCAGCAGGCACACCTGTCGGTGGAAGTGCGATTCCAATCCAGCAAACTATGAGAAATAAAGTATTTTTAGAAAATTAGTTTCTAATGTTTTGTATTGCTTTTTAGAAGCTTCAAGTTGACGATGCACTTTCATATTTAGGTTTTAGGGTTTTTCTTAACCTTTTCAATCTTATTTTTAGAACGTGTTCGTCAGCAATTTGAACAAACCCCTGTTAAGTATAATGAGTTCTTGGAGGTTATGAAAGAATTTAAATCTCATACGTTAGTTGACTTTTAATTTAATTAAAAAATAGTTAATTAAAGGATTGACACACATGGGGTTATTCTTCGTGTTACTAAGCTTTTCCGATTCCATCCTGATTTAATTGATGGCTTCAATACTTTTTTGCCTCCAGGATTTGAGGTGCATGTTAGTGGAGATTTTACACAAATTAGAGAACCTAATGGAACTAACAAGCTGATTAATAATGGTTATTTTTACTAATTTATAGTTTTTAATTATTTTTAGCGATTGGCCAAGTCATAGAAGTTGGTTCTGCGTCTGCCGGGGCACCTTTTATTCAGCAAATAAATGCAATTCCGTTAGTTGTTTTTTATTTTCTACTTATTTTTCATATAGTTCACTTAGTTTCTTAATTATCTTTTAAATTAATTTTTTTTAAATTTGCTTTATTTTAAGGTCTGAACATCATTCTCAAGTCCCTATTGTTCCAATAAATCGTATACCTGCTTCTATTGTCGTTCGTCATCAGCAAAGTCCGAGCGGTTTATCTACAGTTTCCTCTCCAACTTTTGAAAGAGTTTCATCACCTCAACATCAAATGGTTATTGGAAATGTTGCTAATGCTGCTAAAATTGTACAACAACAATTTCAGGTTTATTTAAATTTTTGTCAAAACATTCAACTGAAATATTTAAAGGGTCAACCTGTCCATAACTCCAATATTTCTACCGGAGGATCTCAACAGATTGGGGCATCTTTAATAAGCCCGACAACAGCTGCACAACAATTACAAAGTATTAGTGAACATCAGAATGCTTTGAATGTTACTCATCAATCTCAACAACAGCAACACATACAATCTCAACAACTTTCAGTAAATGGTCAACAACCCATTCATTTTGACCAAGCATTGGGTTATTTAAATAAAATTAAGGTTTCCTTCAATATTAGGATTATTTAAGAAAATTTTTTAGGAACGTTTTGCTAATAGGTCAGAAGTTTATCATCAATTTTTGGCCATTTTGAGTAATTATCAACGTGCAGATGGGCCGCAGGTAGTTTTTATTTTATAAAATTTCTATTACTTGGGATTTTTAGCGTTTAACAGAGTCGGGTGTTTACCAAGAAGTCGCAAAGCTTTTCCATAATGAAGAAGACTTGATGAGAGATTTTAAATCTTTTCTGCCTGATGCTAGTATTGAATTTCCCGTTGATCAACAAGTTCAACTAGACCACCCACTACCAATAACTGAGCAGCGTTCTTTGCAGCAAAATGATATTGAATATGATGAAAATTTTGTCCAAGAAGGATTTGTCGACTTTGTTCAGCTCGAACAAAACAATTCAAACAATAATGTAGTCGACTCTAATTTGACAACCAATGCAGCTAAAAAACGTTCGAATACATCTGCACCTTCTGAATATTTGGCACAAAAGGTTTTGAATTTTTTGTAAATAAAATATATATTTTCTAGAAATTAAAAACTCAAAATAAAATTGTCTACGAAACATCGGTAAACAAAATACTGGAAGAAATCCCACTTCAAGAATTTGTCTTTTTTGAAAAGGTTTTTTGAATTTATTTTCTATTTACTTTATCTTACCTATAGGTACATGATGCACTTCAAAGCGAACAAATTTTTCAAAATTTTCTCCATCATCTAGCACTTTATACAAAATCTATAGTTTCTAAAGGAGAATTACTTGATTTGGTTACACCTTTTCTTTCGTAAATTTGTTTAATTTTATATTAAATATTAATTTCGTATCAGTTCTCATCCGGAGCTTTTGAAGCAATTCAAAGATATACTCGGTGGTAAAAGCGGCATAGCTCGCCAACCAAACAAACAGCTTGCAGTTGAAGATCGTTTACCTTCTGAATCTGCTTATCAAATTGGTGGGTACTTTTAAAATCTTGAATTTTTGATTTTTTATTCAATAAAAATTTTAAAGATTTTACTCATACAAAACAACTTGGTGTCAGCTATCGTTGTATGCCTGCGGATTATGAATACCCCATCTGTTCTGGTCGAACTGAATTATGCAAAGAAGTATTGAATGATCGTTGGGTTTGCTATCCGACATGGTCAAGTGAAGATACCTCATCTGTAACTTTAAGAAAGTCAATTTATGAAGAAGTTATGTGCCGAACAGAGGATGAACGCTTTGAAGTAATATTTTCAGTTCAATTTTAATCAACTAATCTTTAAGGTTGATATTCTTATTGAAACAAATTCAACGGCAATTGACGCATTACAATATGCATTTCGTCGTGTTGAAACAATGAGTAATGAAGAAGCAAAAAAGTGGATGCTTTCTAATGAAAAACGTTTGGGATGTTCTTATACTGTTATTTCTAGAGCTATTAAGAAATTATATGGGTTAATAGAATTTTAATAAATAAGTAAAATTATTCAAAAATTTTTAGTGAATATGCCAATAAAATATTAACAGCTTTACGTGAAAAACCGCTTGTTGCCTTACAGCAAGTCTTAAGTAGAATGAAAGAAAAGGATATAGAGTGGCAAGGTGTTCGGGATGAATATAATGTTATATGGCGTGATCAGGTTGAAAAGAATTACTTGAAAAGTTTGGACCATCAAGCACTTACATTTAAAGCGAATGATGTTAAAAATATTAGAAGTCGTGGTATTATAAATCAATTAGAAAGTGCTTATGACGAGGTTAAAAGGAAATTATAAGATTTTTAATTTAAAATTTTTTAAATTTAAGCGACGTGAAAAACTCGAAGAAGGCCGACAGGTTGAATGGGGTCCACATTTATGTATTAAATATTCAGCGGATCGCCAAATTTTTCATGATGCAAATGAACTTTTACTTCATTATGTTAAAAGACATCTGAATTCGCGTGAAAAGAAAGGTTTTCTATAAATTGAGAGAATTTTAAAAGTTTTATTTTTAACGTTTCAGGCATTGAATCGCTTCTTTTATCAATTATTCCTCGTGTTTTCTTGCTTCAAGCAAAATGGGATGATCAACAATTTGGAGTGTCTTCCTCACTATTAGAGAAGACAGCTGCTTCAACACCGAGGGATGGGGAATTGGAAGGTAAAATGAGAAAATAAATTAGAGTCTGAATCTTGTTATATTTTTTTAATATTAAACATCAAAATTTTAAGAAGTGAAAGATGATTTCTTAGTCCTTAACAGCATTCTGTTTTAATAATTTAAAAAAATATATAATTTAAGCAGATTCCGACAAGGATGATAAATTTGGCAGAGGAAATTTGTCAAATATTATTTCTAATAACGAACCTCAGGAATCCCTTCTGGAAGGCAGAAATGAGGATATTTCTCAACATGATGAGGTTTGAGGACGTTTAAAATAATTTTTATTATCTTCTTCAGCAACAACAAGAACTCTTATATATTCAATTCTTTGGTACTAATTCTTGGATTCTATTTATTCGCCTCCATGCAATTTTATGTGATCGTCTAGCTACCATTAAAAAATGTACAGAAGAATTAGTAGAAGAATATGACGAAGAAATTAAATTTCGTGAAAAACAAAGACGTGTTTACAAAAAATATGGGGATAGTGAAGAATCTCATTTATTAAATGCTGTAGATGTTCATAAAGGATTAAGAGAATTAAAGAAACCAGTGCAAAATCCAGAGAATTTTTATCAAATAATGTTACAGGAAATGAAGAATTTGCTTGATGGAAGTGTAGATGCAGCAAGTTTTGAGGATACATTAAGGTGATACAAGTAGAGAATTTATTTTACTTTTAATAGTTAATTTTTGATTAATTTTAAGTCGAGGAAGATAGAGTAAACATTACCCTTAAATTATTGTAAATTTATGAGGAAATGACTTGTAATAATAAACATAATATTTTTTTAATTTTTAGAAGTATGTTTGACACTCGTGCTTATATTCTCTTCACAATGGATAAATTGGTTAGTACAATAACAAATCATCTCAAAAGTTACATGTCTGACAACATTAATTTAAAATGTATTGAACTCTTTGAAAATTACTTTAGAAAAAGATTGGAGGGTGCTGAACATGGGGAATGGGCACAAAGAGTTGGTTCAGAATATGAAGCTTTAGCCGAAAAAGTGAATTTAAATTAATTAAAGTTATTTTTAATAAATTATTTTTTAAAGTTATTAATTAATCAAAATTGTTACAAAATGTTCTTTTTCAATCGTGAAAATCCAATTGTGACAATTGAATTGATTGACACTAATGAACCTGGAAGTGGATCGGATATTGATGATGAGCAAGAGGAAGAAGTAAAGGAAAGTGCTAATGTTGTGTCTCTGCTAGCGTGGCCTGAATTTCTTGAAAAACATGTTGTGAATGATGTAAGTGGGGTGAAAGATGTAATTTTAAAAAATAGTAATATAATATAAGGTGATTAAAAAGTTGTTAATTAATTAATTGAATTATGTTTTATATTGCTTATTTTTATTTCTCTTCTTTATTAAATATTAAAATTTTTATTTTTCTTGATATCTTTTCTATTTATTTTACATTTTCTTTCTTCCAACACAAATTTAGTTAGTTCTCTTACACAAATCACAATTATAAATATTAGTTAAGTAGAAGCTTAAATTCAAATAAAATATATTTTTAATCATTTTTAAAAATTAATTTTATTAATTATAGGAAGGATTGGCAACAAAAATAACAGGAATTAAAAAATGCAAAACTTACGTTTCTCGAAATTTACGACATCGACGACTATTGTTACTCAAACTTTCTGAACTTAAAAATTTACAAAATAATGAAGCTTCATCAGAAATAAAATCAGAAGAAAAAAATATTACAAAAAAGAAAATACCTCAATTCTTTATTAGTCGAGGCTTTTTTAAATTGTTAAATATTCAAAATCCTTTGAAAGAAATGAAATTTGATATGTTTTACGATGGAGGAACTGAAACAGACATAATTATAAAGAAAGGTGTTTTGGGGAAGGTGACTTGATTATTTTGAGATTTTAAATTTAATTTCCATTCATTTTAATAGAGTCTTCGCAAGAAAAAAGTATTGGATCGAAGAAGGCGCTGGATAACTTGGCTAGACAAGAGACAAAGAGATCAAATGATTAGTGCTCGTTGGCTTACTACTGGGTGCACAACAAAAATTGATTCCCATCCAAGATTTAGATATCTTAAATTTACACGATATTCTTCAAGATAATTTTACATTTTTTCAATTTTATATTTTTGCATTTTAAAAAATATTTTAAAAACAAATATGTATGACCTTTAGTTTGTGAAATTTATAATCATTATTTTTTCTTTAATTGTACTAATTTAATGTTAGCGGCGCCCCCCCCCCCCCGGTTTTCAGTCAAATATACTGTTTTGGAAGAATTTCTATTAAATCACCCATTTTCTTAAATTCTATTTTTAAAACGGTCACCGTTAACATTATCTTAAACCTTAATAATTCTAAAAAAGCGTAGTTTTCTTTAATTCTTGTCTTATACATAGTATTTTCTTTAAATAGTAGTTTTCGAATAAATATTGATAAATATTATCAAAGAATATTTTAAACTGTTATTCCAGTTTTCTTACCTCCAATTTATTTTAAATTTTTATATTTGTCATTATTTTAAATTACAATGATTCCAAGTGTTCGGACTTTTATGCTCTGACCTTTATCTGAAACGGATTTTGGTCTTGCATTTTTCATAACCAGCTAAGAGTCCTCATTTCGACTCTTATTTGTTAGCTTAGGAACTCAACAGTCCCGTTCCGTTATAATTTTAAGCCATTTCCCATTAAAAATTTACACGTCAATTTGTTTTGATTAATAATTTAGCTGTGTGCTTTATTAAAATTTTTTCAATAAAATTCCAAAATGTTTCAGATTAAGTTTAAAAATATTGGTAATCTTTCGTTAAAATGAAGTTAGAAACCTGTGCTTATTCTGGTTACAAAATCCATCCTGGACATGGGAAGCGTGTGATTCGTTCAGATGGAAAGGTTTATTTAGTTTTCTTTTTTAAAAGGTTTATTTTGGCTAAGCAATTGTTTGTCTGGTTAGTATAGTTGGTTATGCTCTAGTTTTGGGGGTTTATTCTATCGTGGTTCGATTCACCCAATCAATCTTTCCCTAACTGCACAACGCTCAGTCCTTTGAATCTTAAAATGTTTACAAAGGCATAAAGTTATGCTAAATAAAATAGTGAAATCCTGTTTGCCGGATATTGGTCTATTCGACCAGTCTCCCTTCCAAATGGTTTACATTTAAAATATTTAAACTTTTTAATGAAATTATTATTTTAAGGTACAAATTTTTTTGAGTGCCAAATGTCAGAAGGGTTCTGGTTTGAAGCGTAATCCACGAGATGTTCCATGGACTGTACTTTATCGTCGCAAACATAAGAAGGTTTTTTAAATTATTTTTTTAGTAATATTTATTGATCGGTGTACGTATTTCATCCAGTATTAGATACAAGTTGTGAAATAAGATTTAATCGGTTGAATTAAGTTGGGTTTCTATTGAAGTGTATTTTTGGTACCATAATTGAATTAATACAAATTTTAGTTTCTAGTCCCTATTAACATGCAATTATATATTTATCAACTGATCACATTTTTATTTCTTTTTGCGCAATGTAGCATTTGATTTACCTAAACTTTTGGTATTATCGAAAAAGTAAAATGCGCTAAATTAATAAAACCTAAATTTCCAGGATTTGGCTTTTTAATAGCCAATTTCTCTTCCAAATGGTTTAACAGTTTCTATTCCTTTTGTAAATTTTGATAATTTTATTTTCTCATTTTAGGGAATTCACGCCGATGAAGGTCAACAGAAGAAACGTGTTAAACGTACTGTTCATGCTACTTCTCGTCCTGTTGCTGATATGACTGTGGAAGCATTATTGGCACAGCGTAACCAAAAACCAGAATTTCGAAAGCAACAGCGTGAGGCTGCAATTAAGGCGGCTAAAGAAGCTGTGCGCGCTAAGAAGGAAGAAACTAAGCGAAAGGCTGTTAAATTGGTTAATTTTTTTGAAATTAATTTAGGAAATAAGAGGGCATTGTATTATAACGCTTTTGTTGATTTTATAATTTCAATTGCGTGTCGGAACAATGCAAAAATATAAATGAACAAATTTTACAAATCGCAAATTTCTAAATTGTTTGATATTTGCGGGTAAAATTGAGCAGACAAATTAAAATAGTCATTAATCCCTGTTTAATAACTTTCTTTAAATATTTCAGACTAAAGCCGCTCAGCAACCGAAAGTGAAGACTAGCAAACAACCTAAGGCGCCTAAAGCACAAGTTGCTGTGAAACGTTAAGAGATTTGAAAAGAAGAAGAAAAGTTATTTTTTATGATATCAATTTTATTAAAATTGTGTTGTTGAATTAAAAGTATTGAAAAAGAAAAATAAATAAAGTTGTTAACTCCGTTTTGTTTTTTTAAATTTAACTTTTTTATTTGGGTATTTGAAATATTTTAATTTTTTTAAAAAAAATTTTTCCTGATTTTTTGATGTCCAATTCTGTTCTGCCTTCCTCTCCTGTAGTTTTTGGTGTAGCAACGAAATTGGAACCTGATGATCTTTACAAGCTTGAACGGCAATATTTGCCTTTGGGCAAAGTTGGTGGATTTCCTGCATGGCTAAATCCAGTGACAATTCCTCAAAGTGAAGATTTGGAATGTTTGGTTAGTTTTGTTGAAGGCTTACATTTAAACCTCCATATCCAATAGATCTGGTCGGGGTTTAATTATATAGGAATTGGGGGTACACAATAATATTTTGATTATGCCTCTAAAATAGGCTTATAAATTAACAATTTAATTCTAATCTTAATCTTATGTTAGGTATGTCACTCACCCATGGCTTTTTTATTACAAATATATTGCACAAATTCATCAGAACCTCCACATGCCTTTCATCGTGTTCTTTATATATTTGCTTGTCGAAAAGGATGTGCAAATGTATTTTTCTTTAAATTATTCAATTTTTAAATTTTTTTAAGCCAAATGATTCTTCTAATTTTTCTGTTTTTCGTTGTCAATTACCCCGAGACAATCAATTTTATAGTTTTGATGGGCCAACACCTTTACCTTCCACTTCTTCAGCTTCTTTTGATCCTTTCTTTAATTCTGAAACTTTTCCCAAGCTTTGTGTTGTTTGTGGATGTCGGGCTGGAAAGAGATGCTCAAAATGTTCAAAAAGAATGTATTGTTCGAGGAATCATCAAATAATTGTAGGAAATTAAATTTTAGAAAATTAATGGGTTTAAATGGGTAAAAATTAATAATTTAAATTACAATATAAAAATTTTTTTTATTCTAAAGGATTGGCAAACAGGCCATAGAGAAGAATGTGGTGTAGATGAGAAAGGTAGTTTTTATAAATTAATTTTAATTTAAAAATTATTTTTAAAAGATTTTTTTACTTGTGCCGAAAAAGCAAAACTTCGAGAAAAACAAGGATTTACTTTTAAAGAATATGGAATTGAAATGGTTGTTGGAGAGGAGGAGGAAATTGTGGAAAATAGTGATGAGGATGAAGATGAAAATAAAATGGAAGAGGATGAAAATGAAGAAGAAGAAAAAAGAAAGAAATTAGAGGTATTTTGCTCTTTCAAGTTTTTATGATTCTAACAATTTTGTTGTCTAAAACTAAAAACCGAAAATTTCTAAAAACGAGTGATTTTATTAAAAAATTCCCTCAAAATAAAACCGGTATTTGTCTAAAACTAAAAACCGAAAACCTGGTTTTTTAAATTTGGATTAACCAAAAACCGGGGGTACCGGTAGTGAACACCCCTAGTTTTAAGGTGAACTCTTATGTTTGTCCCAAATGAAGAAAACTAATTCTCTATTGATCACAATATTTAACTTTTACCGAACAAAGGGTTACACGATTTGTAGTTGAAAACAAAAAAGACCTTTTTCTTTTTTTAATTTTCTTTTTTTAGGATCTAATGATTGCAAAAGAAAATGAAAATATAAAAAATAAAAATGAAGAAACAATTGAAGATGACATAAATAAAATTGAAGAAGAAATAGAAGATTTAGCATTTAATAATTTTACTAAAATAATTCAACAAGAATCAAAACAAATTTTACGTTACCAAAGGGGTGGACATTTTATTTTGGCAACAGATTTTTCTTCTTCTCCAAATTTAATACCTAATTGTGAATTGTGTGGAGGGCCTAGACAATTTGAATTTCAATTAATGCCCTATTTACTTTCTTTAATTGATATTGACTCTGTTGGGGGACAAAGTTTAGATTGGGTTAGGAATATTTTTTAATTAAAAAATTATTTTTTTAGGCAACTCTTTTAATATTTACTTGCAAAAATAGTTGTCAAAGTAATGAATATATTAAAGAATTTATATTTAAACAAGATTTTGTTGTTAAAGGAAGCGAGGATGAAAAGAATTAATTTGGAACAGATTAAATATTGTTAACTTGTTATTAGATTTTTAAAAATTCAGATTGGCCTAAAATAAATTTTTTAATATAAGTAAACTGGTACATATATGGATTAAAATTAGTAAATGAAAAATTGGTTTGTAATATTCGGGTTGCTAATGTTTTGGTAATTGCTTATATTAATGTTTTTGTAAATTTGCTGATTATGCTAATAACAGGAAATGTTTTACTATAAAAGCGTTGTCCCTAAACCTAATATACGCGTCAGATTACTCACTCACATCAGTCAACTTACTTCGTTGCTCGTGTCTTCAATTCAACATTGCTCAACGTGCTCAGCCATCTTCGTCTATGGAGGTGTTATCTAATCTGCTTCACGGCCTCGCAGAGGTGTGTTTGTTTAATTTTTTAAGCTTCTCCAAAAACTTTTTTCAAATTTAGGCAATTCAAGTTGTTTCGCAACAGGTTGATCAAATCGTTGAACGGGAGCGGCGAGCAGAAGCTGAGCGGGAACGACTTGGGGAGGCGGAACGAGATGTGAATCCTACTCCATCTAGTAGCAGCAGTGAAGAGAGCAGAGAGGCGGCAACGGAGGCGGAGGCGGCAAGATCATTGTCATTGACTAGTGACAGTGATACCAATCAAACATCAGAAACCTCATCTGACGTAACTGTGCAAACCGATTCCAGGACGGATTCTGACAGTACCCATACAGAACTGAGTAGAACTCGAGAAAACGATGCTAAAGATCAGGAGGTAGGATAAGAATCTTTTTGAGTAAGTTTGAATAAAAAATTTTCAGTTGGATCCTTACGAGGTTGATCAATTGCTCGAAGCTATGCGAAGTCAAAGTAGACTTTCTGTCCCTGGTCAGTTTTATATTTGACTAAAATTAAATTAGCTATTTTTTCCTTTTCTTTTCAGAGTCAGATTTGGTTTCCACACGTTCGGCCCGTGTTCGTTCGCCACCACCGACTGAAGACGAGCACAGTACTGCAGCTGTGTCAAGGACAGTCAGCGCCCTCGAGTGGGATGATGTCTCAACCGCTAGAGTTGCTCCAAGGTGAGAGTCTTTAATTATTAACATGTAATTCCTAAAATACACTTATCGTTTTAGTGAAGAAAACTTATTGGCTAGCAGTAATAGTCCTGCTTTGGTTGCTAATCCAGCCGGAACTGAGGTGCCTGAATTGCCTGCTAATAATGACGATATCCCAACGGCAATAGAAGCTGATAAATGAAGGAAGTATATATTCATAAACGATAATCTAAAAAGAATAACACCATTTATTGTAATAAAATCCTGTTGTAATAATGTACTTTCTTGTCTTTCTTTTTTTTTTGAGTAAATTATGTATTGGAGTGTTTGTTTTAAATAAAAATATTTTTTGTAAATTGAGATTAAAATTCTAATTTAGATGTTAGAAATTGATTGTTAAGGATTTGATTCGTTTGAAAGTATTGTAGAGATGCAAAGTGTAATCTCTATAATTTTTTTGGATACTTAGCAAAATCAAATTATTTTTTTTTCCACGTATTTAAATAAAATAAATTAATAAAACAGTTTTTACTAAAATGTTTTAATTATCTGATAACGAACGTTTTAAATATACATTCTGTCCGGTTATTTTTCCAATTCCTTGTTTCAGTTACTCAAGTTTAAGATATGTTAATCATCTCACTTTCCTTCATACGTCAACACAATCTGGTCGGAAGGTTTAGTAAAAAGTCGGTTCGGTTCTTACGGTTTTCTTCCACTTCTTGGACTCGGTTTTTACAAAATTTCAATCTCAAAAATTTCCAAATGGTTCCCATTTTTATTTTAAACCTTTGTTAACATTTAAGCTCTTTCTAAACCTAATTTTAACCAAAATATTCTTTATAAAATTTAAAAATTAATTTATAAAAATATTTTGTACTTAAAAATATTATTTTCTAAAACGTTTAAACAGTGGATGTCTTTCATCAGCATTTCTTTTGCTAGTCCCTCCAGTTCTTTGTTGTGTTGAATAATTAATAGAATTAGCACCAGAAAATGCAGAAATATCTACATCTTTTCTAATTGCCTTAAAAATAATTTTTAAAAATTTTTTCTAATTTTTTTTCGAAACCCTATTTTGAATTCCATCATTTAATTCATCCTTTGTATCCTCTTCCAATGTTTCAATATCTGATGCTTGCAAAACTTGACTTAAAAGTTTTAATTGTTCATCTTTCGGCCCCAAATCTAAATGTTCCTTTGCCATATCCGGAAATTCATTAACAACTTTATAGGCATATCCCTGATTAACTAGAAAACGCTGTCTTTTCCTGAATAAGCCATTTCAACGGTATCTTGTGAAACAAGAGAATAAAAATAAGCATTAAATAAATCTGCACTAAGCTTTTTGGCACGTAAAATACGTCCAAGTCTTTGGGCTTCCTGTCTTCGACTTCCCCCATGGGCACTTATTTGGATAAGTACATTAGCTTCTGGTAAGTCGAAGGAAGTATCTGCAACCTAGAAAAAGAAAATTTTTTTAAATGTTGTTAGTTGAAGGGGGAGGGAAAATTGTATCGAGAAAAAATTGGAGAAAACTTTAAATTTTTCTCTTAAAATTTAAATTATTCAAAATATTTTCGTAATTTCCAAAAAATTATTTAAAAAATAATTAAATATATCAAGAACATGTGTTATTAAAATTTCCCATAATTAGTAATGTTAAAAACACCTTAGAAACAAAAATTGTATTAACACGTGGATTGTATTGAAAATTTTGAAGAATTTTCATTCGTTCTTGTTGTGAAGTTTGTCCAAAGAGGAAAGGTTTATTCATTTGAATGGCAAACTTTTTAAGAGCAAAAACATTGTCGGAGAAAACAATTATCTAATTAAAATTTTTAAATAAAAATAAATATATATTTTTGTGTTTACTTTATCATTCCTTCTTTCATGAAATCTAATTAAATATTGACAAAAACGAAATTTATTTGGATTCATAACTGCTAATAATAATTTTCTGTTAATTGCTGATTTTAAATAATAATCAAAAAATTCGGCAGTCATTGGACACCAAACCTAAAAATAATTTTTTTGTCTTTCGTACCAAAAAAACACCTCAGCACACTGTACTCTAGCAATATGCCCAGCTTTTTGTAATTCCATCCAATTAGCCTCATATATTTTTGGTCCAATCAAAAAATTTAAATCAGTAATTTTATCATCTTCTCTAACAAGCGTTGCTGTTAAACCTAATTTACAATGGGCTCTAACTATTGTTAATACTCGACGAAACATTTTTGCAGGAATTGTATGGACTTCTTTAAATTAAATTTTTTTTACTAATTAAAAATATATTTTTACCATCTAAAAGTAACAATCCCCATTCATTCCCTTCAATATATCTCATTGCTTCTTCAGCCATATAAGCACGCTTTCCTGTATAGGCAACCATTGAATATGTACTTATACAAATTGTTGGTTTAAGAGCATCTGCTCCAGTTGGGACTGAATCACGGGCATCTCGAGTAAATCTATTTATTTATTTTTGAATAAAAAGGAAGGGTTTTTTGTTGAATATTTTATTAATTAAAAATGCGAAGAAAATAAATTTTATTCTCATATACTTTAAAAAAAATAAAAAAAACTTTTTTACCTAATAATCTGATTATCATGAATTGTTGACCAAAGCTATAATAAATATTTTTTAAAAAATTAAAATATTTACTTCACCCTAAATTGTGCTCTCCACTGTTCAACACTAACATTACTTGTTGCCAAAACCAAACTTTAAATAAAAATTAATTTAAAAATAATCTCCCTCTCCTTCCTTATTACCATCGTTTATTTATTGTTGTTGCTGCAGTAACCCCAACAAGTGTTTTTCCAGCCCCACAAGGTAATACAATAACTCCAGAACGGGCTCTACTATTTCCAAACATTTTTCTCAAACTTTTTTCTTGATAAGGTCTTTGAAAATATTTTTGATAAAAAGAATATTTTTTATTTATTTTTTTACCTTAAAGTTGTTGCCGGTTTTAAATCAATTTTTAAATTTGGATTGTTTGTATCGTTTCTAAAGTCATATTCAGCAAGTAAAGGATATTCTAATTCAATACAGCGTTTTTGCACAATTTCAATACATTCTTGACGAACTTTTAAAAAATAAAAGGAAAAATAAATTTTAGACAAAATTGGATTTGAATAAATTAAAAAAGGTTATTTTTATGAAAGTTAGACTGAATCGATATTTTAATATTTAGGTTCGACCCTGTACACGGGTATTCCACGGCAATGGGGGAGGTCCTTCCCTAAAGCTATTGTAGCTAAAACCATCGTAATCCCCGTCTTCGTGAAGACAACCATCAGACCTCAGACTTACTCCACTTACATAATATATGTACTTTTTCCTGTATTTTTCAAAAGAAACACAAAATTTTTAAAGATTATCTTAACAAATATTTTTTCTATTCAATTTTTATCAATTAAAAATATTTATTAATTACTTTCAAAAGCCAAAACTTCCAAACTTCTCAAAGCCTCAGTTTCCTCATCATCCTCCTCTTCAGTTAATTTTCCATAAAAATTATCTTCTTCTTCAATATCTTTTTGTTGTTGTTTATCTTGTAATAATAAATTTGTTTTGTCTTTTTCGTTTGCTTTTTCTTCGTTTAATTTTGAACTAAAAAAATAAAATAAATTTTTATTTAAAATATTTTTACGTTGGAAATTGAATTTGATTTTGTTGTTCATCCAACATATTTATTTTAATCATTTTTTGTGTCACATCCCCACTACTAGACGATTGAGAAACTATTTCTTCTCCAGTATTTATTAAACATTCTTGTATAACCGAATCTTTAAGTAAACGTTGAATAACGTCAGAATGTCTAGATTCCACAAAATATTTGTTCTTTTTCAAAACTAATTTTACTTTTCCATAACTTAAAGTACAAGCCTTGAAAATAAAAAAATTATTTTAAAAATTTTTTCCTTTACTTCAATAAATTTTTTAATTCCTTCAGGCAACGAAGTTTTGCATAATCTATCCAAATATTTAATAATATCACCAGTTTGTAATCCAATTGAGACAGCAGCATAGAGGGAGTAGGCAGTCAATTGATATTCGTGAATAAATTCTGGACGGCAAATTGGCTAAAAAAATAATTTTTTTAATTTTCTGTTGTGTACTTTTAAGAATATTTGTCTTTTTAAACGTAAAAAATTTTTAAAAAATTTCAAAAAAACCTCAGCAATAGCAATCAAAAAATCGGAGGCGTGTTTATAAACAGGGGAAAAAGATTCCAAGAAAATATGTCCATCAGGGGCTACCCAAAGGGGCCTAGAAGAATGGTCTTTTTTAAGCTGCATTTCATTTCTATAATCATGAGCACCAAATTCATCTTCATTTTCGATAGCCCCACCACCTCCAAAAGCATCATCTAACCGCCTACTGGCTGCCTTTGGTGCTAAAATTTAAAAACAAAAAATTGGGATTCTTTTAGAATTTATTTTACCAGCTAATCCACTTAAAGATTTTTCTGCTGTAACGGAAGCCATTGAAAAAAAAACTAAACATTACTAAAATTATAAAAATTAAAATTTTTACAAATAAAAATCAAATTTAAGTAATTGTTTTAAAAAATATTTTTAATATTCTAATATTTATTATTTAAAGATAAATTTATTTACAAATGACAAGAGATTTAATTTATTGCCTCTATTTAATAATTTTTAGTCTTCTTTTTCAAATTCTGCAGATTCTTTCCCCTCATCCCAAGCTGCATGAATCCACAACCCCAAAACTACATGTACCATTAAAACAGCTGCAATTGCTGAATAAAGCATAGAATCACGACTTTGCATTCCAAAATATCCTAAATTTAATTAGGATAGAATAAATATTTTCACAATTTTTTTCAGTTCCAAAAAGTCCCCTCGGATATCTAGGAAATGTGTTCCTTAAGAGGGATACTTTGAAAATATCTTTAATTAAATTTAAAAGAATCACCTTCAAACACAAAATTTTTAAGTAAAAACATTGAACCCAAAGGAAGTAGCAAAATCAAAAAGCTATAAGTAAATAAACTTTTCATTCGTTTCTGCACCACAGGATTTCGAAGATTTGGAATAACTTCAGATGCCGACATTTTTCCTTTCAATTAATATTAAAAAAATTTTAATTTCACTCAAATAATTTTGTAAAAACAAATAAAATTAAAATCTTTTGTCAATCAAATAAATTTATGCATTAAAAATTTACTACTCGAAGAGAAACAAATTACGAGATAATTCAAGTTAAAAGAAATTGCTTTTTAAAATATAAAATTGATTTTATTTTTGAAATTTAAAAATGAAAAAAGCTTTCATTTAAAAATATTTTTTAATTTAATTTTAATTCCCAATAATGTAAGACTATTTTAATATTTCGGCAAAACAAAAAACCAAAAAATTTTCCCTAAAATATATTTTCTTTTATATTTTTGGATATGCTTTTTTCTTCAAAGAAAAATTTGTCGTGGAATATATAATTCTTAAAAAGGGACACAAGTTACATATTTAAGGCGAGACAAAGAGAAATGCGAAATACAATTATAGATAAATAAAAACTTTAAAACCAAAAAAATAATCAAAGGAAATAAACATATTTTCAGAATAATTTTGAGGTTTACAAGTCATTTTTAAATATAAGAGTATTTCGCAATTTGTTCTGAAAATTATTTAATAAAAAACAATATATTTAACTCCCCTATCAATAAAAAATATTTTTAATCAATTTTTTTACTTTCCACGTTTTTAGTTTTATCATCAGTTATTGCTGTTTGTTGTTCATCTTTATAAGCAATCCACGCAAACAAACCCAAAATAACATAAACTAAAGCAGCAGCAACAAGTCCACCATACAAAACAGCTTTGTCACGAGGCAAATGGAAATAATCTTTAAATTAATTTAATAATTAAATTTATTTATTTTGAATTTATTTTTTAGCTATCTTTTTGTCAAAAAGAAAATTTTGAGTTTAATAAATGTTTAAATACCCGTTAACAAGATAATAAAAATAATCTTTTTATAAAAACTACCAGTAAAAATAAATCGATATGACAAGTACATCGCAGTTAACGGCACAATGATCAAAACCAAACTAAATCCAATAAGTCGAGAAATAGCTCGTCCACGGGCAGCCTCATGTTTCTCATCTAACAGAGAAACTTCATTACCAGAATCAATCAATTCCACATCAGTCTCTTGAAGCTCATCACCAGTAGCCAACAATTCTTCGCGCTCTTCCAAGTCAGCATTGTCTAAATTTAAAAATGAAACACCAAAAAGGAATTAATTTATAATTTGAATCGCAAATAACCCCAAAGAGAATTTTTAGCTACGAAAGGTATACACTTCATGTAAGTTGATTTACTCATTGGAAATCCTAAACGTTTTCAAAAATATCCGAATTCCCCTTCAAATCAGCTAACCTTGAACATCTTCATCAGTACTATTTCCGACACTTCGATCATCGGCTGAAGAGCTGACAGAACTAATTGAAACCAATTTATCTTCAGTAACATCCACGCCTCCTTGAGATTTTAATGCCTCATCTCCATCAACAATGCTAATACTTTCGCCATTGCTTTGAGAATGTGTACTCATATTCTAATTATAAATTTTAAAATTTTTTTAAAATAAAATTAAAAAATAAATATTCGATTTATGATAAAAATCAATTAAAAAATAAAAGAAAATATTTTTCAAATTTTAATCAATTAACAAATTGCGACTCAAAAATAAAAAAATTAATTCAATTTGGAATGTATTGATGAAAGACACAATTTTGAGTAAGTGAATCAAGTAGTTTTGTAGAAATCCTGAGTAAAAGTTGCAACCGGCAAGTAAATGAGACGGATGATTCCTTCACTTATTTGTTTCACTGCTCCAATATATTCTAACTTAAAGAAAAAAATTTAGTGAAGGAATTTTATTGTAATTGCATTTCCAGGACCGGTAATAGTAAATAGATTAGAATTCGTGTCGTATGTAAAGAAGGCCCAAAAGTCATTTTTAGGTAAATTTATATCCACAGTTTTTACAAAAAAATTACCTGAGCAATAGCAGCCATAAAACGTGCATTAAATTCCATTCCATCTATTTCTGGTGCAAATTCATAAAAATTATCAAAAAGTTTTGTCAATTGAATTGCCGATTTATCAATTCCATGTTGAACTAAAATTCCATAAACTAAACAAATATCTAATTGCTGCTGCTGTTTTTGTCCAACTTTTTCGAATTCATATTTTGAAATCTCTCCTAATTGATAGTCGATTTGAGCAGAAAGTGCTGGACTTAAGGAGGCAGAAAAACAATTATCGGCATCGATAAAATTGTATTCAGCGATAAATTTCCATTTTTGTTGCTAAAAATAAAATTAAAAAAATTAAGCATTTTTAAATAAATTTACCACGCATCTATCCAAAAATAAAGTATTCAAATAATTTAACAATTCATTATATAAAGTGTCCGATAATGGATTACGTAGCCTTTTTAAATCTTTTTCTCTTTGCAATAAAAAGGTTGAGGTGTTTAGAGATTTTCTGATTGGGAAACGACTTCTAGATAATCGAGGGTTGCCATCATTTTTTGTAGAATTAACTGAAATATTTTAAGATGAATTATGTAGGGAATTTTTTTCTGCCTTGTTGAAATATTATTCAAAATTTTCAAATTAAAATTAAATACCAATTTCAGAATCAGGTGCATTATTCTCCACTTCCTCGTTCAATTTATTATGATTTTCTAAACTATTTATGAGTTGTTTACAATTGACACGTTCTCTTTCAAGTTCTGCTCCCAATTGTTGCAATATTAATAATAATGATTGTAACTTTCCTTTCCAGTTATCTTTCGTCCAACTTTTAGAAGATGATTTAAGTTTGCTAAAAAATAAAATTTTATTTTTAAAATTGCCAAAATAAAATACTCTAATAATGTTTTGAAGAATTCCGAGTCATTTTGTAATTTGCAATGTAATGCAGTTTTCCCTCCATTAACACAAAAAATTATAGAAAACCAACCAAGAAGAGAAGAATAAATTTTCATTTGGGTTTGAATAGTAATAAGTTCTTTCTAAAATGTGAAAGAAAATATAGTAATTATGGTGGTCAAAACATTGAGAATGCTTTTAATGATCTCAAACTCGAAATTTGTTAAGACAGTTAGTTTGAGAAATTGTTCAAAGCAAATTTCCACAAAATAAAAAATGTTCAACAAACCTTCGTAGGAGGTTTTCTGTTTAGAGTTGAATAAAAACAAAGAGCCAAAAGTAAAGACTTCCGTACACTATTCAGGGATCGATTATCCATTTCAAAAAGCCGTTGAGTCGGAGCTTTAATTAAAACTCCATTTGAGCGGAGAAAACAAAGTGGAAGAGTTTCCTCAAAAAGTATCCGTAGAAAGGCGTCAAATGGGTGGAATGCAGCATTGGAAAGACGAAGGTGAATTGCAACACGACGGGACATTTTTTCATAAACTGATGAAAATGAAATTGGAGTGAGAAATATTAAATAAGTTGACACTCTAAAATTAATTTTGTAAATTTTAATTTTAATAAAAAATGAAACGAAACCTCTTTTCATTAATTTTCTCAATAAATTCTTTGAAAAATAAATAATCAGATCCATCATGTTCCAAAAATAAAATTAACTTGTCTTCTTCAATTTCATCAAAAATTTTACAAATATCAGAAGATTTTGCTTTTTTAATAGTAATATTTGGAATTAATTCATTAAGTAAACGAATAAAGATTGCCCAGTCAAGACAGTGGCCGGAAAGAACCATCGATGGAATCTGTCCTGAAATTTATTTTTATTATGACTAAATTAGAACGTCAATTAAAATTAAATCTTTAACCTTCACAAAAAAAACAATTAGATAAACAAATCCTTACCATCACATTTCTTCTCCAACAAAATCTTTATTTTTTGCAAAATATCATTAAAATATCTCTCAACAGCTTTATCAATACAAAAATCCAATTCCTTAACCAAATTAGTTAGCAAGTCAATATTAATTGTAAGCTTTCTCGAGGAAATTCTTTGGTGCTTTTCCACTTTTTTAGGCGGAAAATAACGAATACCAGAATTCGCTGTTCTACTCATTGTGCATTTTAAATATTATCATTAATTTAACAATCCTTAAAGCTCTAAAATATAAATTAGAAAAACAAAAAAAATACTTTAATGATAGAAACAAATCTTTAAACAAAATTATAAAAATGATTGATCAAAATTTATCAGAACATTTTAAAAAATTAAAAAAAAATAAGTAAAAGCATTGGAAAGGACTGTGAAGGTCAAGACTGACATTAAATTTCGTAAGCAGGTTGCTTTTGGTTCAAAATTAATTTTTATTATTGTAAAAGATTTGCCCTACGACTAAAATGAATTTTAAAATTCTTCAGAGAAAAAAATCTGTCCGTATTTATTTTTCACCAAAATATAACAATTAATGTCAATCAAACCAGTTCGAAAGGGAAAAAGCTATTTTTTCAAAAAGTAACAAATAAATATATAATCGTTGTGTTAATAGCCATTAGTTAGTCATCGAATACAGACAGAAAAAGAACAAAAAGGCACTTCTTTTTAAACATTTAATTATATTTTAATTTACTTTTAGATTCATTATTTGAATAATATTGGCTGAAATCCCTGCTATAATTGCAAAAAAGCCAAGTAAAATTACAAAAATATTTCTTCCAATATAAAAATATCTTTCTCGTCGAGTTAGATTTAGCTTAAAAATTATTTTTAATTTCTCAAAATTTTTAAAGTTTACCTTCCAATCCTCCCAAAAAGTAATTATTTGAAAGAATGGTGGATATACTAAAGCACAAAGCGTTCCAGAAGTAACACCAACTAATGGAATTAAAACCGCCAAACGGGGAATAAGCACAGCCATTAAATAAGTAATAAATACCCAAAAGAATCTAAAGCCTTTGTCTATTACCTAAAATTATTTATAGAATTCTAAAAAGAAATATTTGCTCACAAAATCAGAAACAGTTGGAAACCGAATGCTAAACTTTCGTCGAAATCCTTTATAAAACATGTCGAAAACCACATACATTGCAATTGAGTGACCAAGTATTGACTGAACACAGAGAAATACATTCACAACAGAATAAAGACTAAATGAGAAGAGGGAATTTAATAGACTTCAACACTTCTTCTCAACTAGAGAATTAATTTAAAAATTTAAAGTTTACCCAGTATGTGGCACATTAATAGTAATAGTTTCAGCAACTTTATCACCAAATGCATTATAACCAAAAAATCCAATTGCCGTCATAAAAAGTGTACAAAGACACATTGTTGTTGGGAGAACGCCAAAATTGTCTAAAAAATCATCGGGGTTGTCCAATTTATTTTCAATAGGTAAAATCATTGTTTGACCTTCAAAGGCATACATAGACATTCCAATGAAAATTATCTAAAATTTTAAAATGGCAAAACTATTCGGAAATATATTTAACTGTATCAGCAAAATTCGTAGAAGCAGGTAATTCACTCCAATGACTTGGTTGTTGCAAAGTAAAATGCATTATAACCCCAGCTCCAAGTAAAAAGAAAACAGAAGAAATCATTGCAAAAAGGCTAATCACCCGCATTTCAGTAAACATATTTGTTGCCATTATAAAAATTGTTGCTAAAAAATAAAAATAACAAAAAATACTCTTTTAAAAAACCTATTGTTGCCATAATCGTTGTCGAAGACCCTAACAACCATCCCAATAAATGAATTAAATTTTCGGCAATAAAGAGTATTGCAACAGAACACATTCCTTAAAAAATTAAATAAAATATTTAATTAAAAGAACATTACAAACCAAGTTGGTAAAAAAGAATAGTAATATTAACAATATACCTTAAAATATATTTTTAAATTAACAGAAAATTTAAAATAATTTACATTATTCGCTTGCTATTGCTCCTCAAAAAAGGTATATCGCTCTTGTCACAAACCCGTTTTGCAAAATGTCCATAATCCAGGCTTGGAACACCCGTTCTGAAAAAATTTAATAAAATGAATGAATCTTGTAATTTTAAACTTTTTTGCTAGATGTTGAGAAGAACGAACCAATATATGATTCCCGAACCAATTAAAACCAGCAATAACAACTGTGAGAATAAAAGATACCTAAAATAGGAGTTTAAATAGAAAAACGTTTCGAAATTTGGTGGAATTTGGAAAGAAAGAGAATGGTCATTTGCTCTGAATTCCCCATAGAGGAGACAATACAGGAATGGAGACCTCCAAAAATTAAAAGAAAATACCCATTTTCCGCCAAGCATCCAGGCATAAGGCAATGAAAAACAACCTGCATTGAACATACTTTTCGAAAGAGTAAGTACCGCCCTGTGAGGCCTAAAATTAAAAATTAAATTTAAAATGAGAAATTTAAAGTTAACGTGATCACATCTCCTTGACGGCATTCTGAACGAATTACCAAAGAACGTAATTCTCCAGAAGAATCTGTTGAATTCGATGTTTGTTCACCAACTCCATTATTAACTATTACATTATTTGTTGGTTGTTGTTGTTGATATAAATCAGATTCTTGCATTTAATATGCAAATCTCTTTTATTTATTTCTTTAATTACCTCTCACTTTCTACAAATATTTAACTAAAATATTTAAAAAAAGATAACAATTACAAAAACTAGAGTGCGGCACAGGAGCGATCCCGGACGGGATTTTACAGGATCCCGTCCCAGAATCCCGGGTTTTTAGCGACGAGGGGGATTACCGGGGTTCCGGGATAAACGAAATTAATCCCGCGGGATCCCTCCCGTTCGATTTTTTCAAACTCAATCCCGTTTCGAAATCACGGAAATGCGATTATGCCGTACTCTAAGAAAAACTTCGCAATAAAATTCACAATTAAAAACAAAAAATCAATATTTCTTTGTTTAGTCGCGCAGAAACAAATTAATTATAAAAAGAACATTTACATACTAGACTAAATAAATGATAAAAAATTTAGATAAATTTGTTTGTTTCATTAATGTAAAAAGGAAAAGTTAAAAAATTACTCATCTCCATTTTTTAACATTTTTATCGTTTTCTCATCAAGTCTCTTCAATTTACTTACTCTTTTACTTTTAAACTAAAAATTACTTTGAAATTCTATCTTTTCTTTAATAGTTTTAAAAGAAATGTCTACATAAAAAATTTAAAAAATTCACACATGTTTAAAAATAAACTTGATTATTAACAATTTAACATAATTTACCCTAAAATTTCGAATACTTTTAAAATATTAATAGAGAATTTATTCAATCAAAAAATGCAAAAATAAATTAATTGAGGCTAAAAAACAGAAAATTAATAAAAACAACCAAATAAAACATGTAAATGTTTTTTGATATAAATTTATAGTATATTAAAAAATAAGAATAAATATGTATGTATTTATTAGGATTGGACACGACCGGTTTTAAAACCGAAATTTTTGAGATTTTTTGACAAAAATTAACCGTTTTTATGAAATTTTAAAAACCAAAAACCGGTAATTTATGAAAGCGATTTCTTTAAAAATTCCCCCAAAACAAAACCGGTATTTGACCAAAACTCAAAACCGAAAAGGGGGTATCGGTTAATAACCGATTGTGTCCAACCCTAGTATTTATAATTAGTAAATTATGACATCCCGCTCTGATCCAATTCCATGCTTTGAGTAAACATCTCATAGAAAACTGATTCTGATGCCTCCTAAAAATTATTTTCCAATTTCTCTAGAAAAATTTAAATATTTATTTATTTTTACCTCTTCCATTTCCAATTGTAGCATGTCAAAAATTTTTGAGCAAATTTCAACTAAAATTAATTTTATACAAAATTTCCAAATTAAAATATTTTAGGCATATAGGACATGCATCCCATGGGCTTTTATGCGTCCCATGTCCTAAGCGTCCCATGACGGTATTTGCATCCCATAATAGAACACTATAATTGATTATTACACTTTTTCGCGACATCTGTTACTCTTCTGGGACACATCTTCTCTCATGGGTCGCATAAAAGTTCATGGGACGCATATTCTATTTTAGCGCCACATTTTAAATAAAATTACCAATTTCCCCATTATTCGATGTAGTCTTCAGCAATTTTAAAGTATTCAAATTATTTTCATGATTAAACCAAAGACTTTTCAAGTTTGGCTAAAAAAGAGAATTAGCAAGAATAATTAATTATTTACTTACCTCTCTTTGACACGATTCTTTTATTAATTTTAAAATAGCTAAATACATATCGATATTATTTGAATAAATATCGAGTAATTTAAATGGTTGGTAATTCTCCCTAAAAAATAAAATATTTTCAAAAAAAAATTTATTTTTTTACCCCAATAAATGTGTAATCACACTCAAGTGTAATTTACTTTGATCACAAACTAATCCAATTAAAACTTCCACGGCTATTTTTGTTAAATGCTAAGAAAAAATAATTAAAATTAATTAATTATTCTCTCACAATTTGTGTATTATGACTAAACAAATATTTAAGTAAAGTTTCTGCTAATTTAATTCCACGGCTTTCTATTGGTAAAGAAATTCCAGAATTTAAAATTCTTCGCAAACTCTTTAAAAGAAATTAAAAATTTAAAAATAATATTTTTATTTATTTATTTACAGTCAAAACACTTTTGTGAAATTCAGTTCTATCAAGTCTCAAAATTAATTGATAAAGAAGCATTGCACGTTCATCTTCTGCCAACTTTAAATAAAAATTTTTTTAAATATTTTATGAGTACCACCCTTGAAGAAACTCACCCTCTCAATGCCGAATTACCCTGAAGACCTACAACTTTTTGATCAACACAGATTTTATTTTTTTATTTCTTTACAAGTTTAGTTGGGAGATTAAAACGGCAAAGGGGGACTTGGAAGGATTAAGGGTGATATCGATGGATCTGGAGAGATTTTCCCCCTTTTATCCCTCAGACACACCGATTAAAATTCTAAAGTAATATGTAAGAGATAAAAAATGCGAGTTGATCAAAAAGTTGTAGGTCTTCAGGATAAATGATCTTCAGGGTGTAGGTCTTGGGGGTGTAGGTCTTCAGGGTTGACCCCATTTTTTAAATAAAAATAAAAATTTTTTCAAAAATTTCCAACTAAAACCCCCATAATTTTATCCAAATAAATTCCCATTAATTGTCTTTTCCACAAAATTCTTTCAATTTCCCCTTTTCTCAATTAAAAAAAAATAATTATTAAATAATTTTTTTTACCTTTTTCGATGCAAATTTTTGTTCTCTATTATTATTAGCCATTCCATTAATTTTATTACAATTTTGTCTGTTATTATTATATTCTTTATTTACTAAAGCTAATAAACAAAGACATTCATCCAACATTGTATTTAACATTTGCCTTCTTTTGGCACCAATTTCAACGTGAGATTTTCGAACTTCAGAGCTAATACAGCAAAGCTGTTCAACTAAAAATTAAAAATTTTCTTTCCAAAAAAACCCCCAAAAATAACCATTTGAAGGAGTAGAGGAGGATGTTGTAGTGTTTGTATTTGTTGTTGAAGTTGAAGGGGATGAAGAAGAAGACGAGGGAGATGGTGAACAAAAAAGTAAATCGAAACTTTGTGCTGCCAATTCAACTAAATGAGATATTGTTCTTCCCTCGTCTAATCGAATTAAATAACTCTGAAATGATAAATTTAAATAAATTCTATAAAATAATTAAAATAAAATATATTCTCAAAATTTAAAATTTGTCTATTTAAAAATAAGGGGGGAAAAATAAAGAAAATATTACTCTAATATTCTCATCATTTTCTTATTTTTTGATTAAAAAATAAATAAAAAATTTACTCTAGATTGTTCATTCAAAGCACAAACATTTCTCAAAAAGCCCAAAGAATTAACAATATTTCTCCAAAAAGTATCCACAGCATTTGCAGAAATACAACCCCCAGGTTTAGTTGTTTGGGGTATTGGGGGAGGAAGAGTACCTCGAATAGCTAAATGGACTGCTCTGTCCAACTCCATACAAGCCAATGTTGGAATATCGCTGACTAATTTTAAAGTAAGCAATGCTGGATATAAATCGTCTGAAGAGGGTTGGACAGCATCTATTCGAGTAACTATTAACTAAAAAAAGAAGAAATTCAACAAAAACAACAAAAATTACTCACATCAATCCCCGCCAACCGAACAAAATGTTCGGCAAATATTTGTTGTTTAGAATCAATTAATGTTGTCAAAGTACGTAATGCTTGCCGTAGAAGACGAAGATTTTGATTTTCAGAAATTATTTTAAGAATTAATTCTAATCCGCGCTGATCGAGAACAAATTTCTAAAATAACAAAAATTATTTTTTTAATTTTAGGGTACTTTTCCGTTCTGCCACACCCCCTAAATTAATGCTCAAAATGTCGTATATAGGGTAAAAAAGGTGCTGAGTCGAACGGTACCACTATTTTTTCTCGCAGATGCCTGTGTACAGAAAGTACCTAAATATAGTACCAAAATATTTTTCAAAACCCCTTTAAAATTAAAAATAAATCCATAATAATAAAAAAGATTTTTTTAAAAATAAATTTTAAAAAACTTTTTTCTTTCTTTCCCTCTCTTTCTCTCCCATACAAATAAAAATCCATTTTTTACCTTTAATTGTTCATTTGCATGCATTAAAACTCTTAAAATTCCCATAGAAAAAAATTTAATGTTTGAGCTTTGAATTAACAAAAATTGAAGTAAAGAAGCCATCATTTGTTCGGTTCTAGCTTCGCTTTTGTCCGGAATTTCAGAAAGCGTATTGTAAAAAATTCTCAATAAATGGGTTATTCTTTGGGTTAAATTTGGAGAGGAAATAGAAGAAGAATAATTCCCGTTTAATTGTTGTAGATATGTTGCATTTCGAATTATTAATTCAATGAAAAGATGCAAAATTTGGATTGGTTGTTCTCTAACTACCTTTAAAGAAAATTAAAAAATTATTTTAGAAAAGGCAATGGATAAATATTTTTTTATTTCCCCAAAAAATTTTGGGGAAAATTTATTCAAAAAAATTAATTTAATTTCTTCCACTGCCTTCTAAAAAATAAATTTTTATCAACTTACAGCTACATAATGTTGAGATGAAGAAATTGAAGCCAAATTATCCAGTAAAGAATTAATCATCTATTCAAAAATAATTTTTTTAAAAATTTATTATTTTAAAACTAGCCTTATCATCCCTAGCCGTAGCCAATCTTGTAAGCAATAAACTTAAAAAGACAAAATATTTATTTATTTTAAAATTAATTTTTGTGTACCTTATAATTTCTCGAAAATCCTTCAAATCGCTATTCATTAGCAACCCTTTTTTATTCACAGCTTCAAAAAATAATTTCAAAACTTTTAAAGATCTGTTAAAAATATCCTAAAAAATTAAAGAATTTTTTTAATTAAAACAAATTTTCCTTTACGGTGTCCTGCCCAGAGAAAATAGTTTTAAAAGTTTCCAAATATTTACTAGCCGTTGGGGCTTCGAAACTTTCAGTTTTTATAATTCTTGAATTGTTGCTCAAATGAGAATTTAAAGTAAGAGTGCTTGTGTTGTCA